TCCTTAATGGCTAATCTGATACTGTTTGTAGGACACAATAGAGAGAGATCACCAGACAAGAGCTGGTAATAAAAGAGTAAAGAGTTTGAAGGATCTGTGTTTCTTTTTTGAAAGACAACGTGATGCTGATCATGCCTATTTGCTTTTCTGGTTTTTATGTTGGATACCATATTTATTTTAGGCTTTTAGAATGATGTCCTAAGTTAGTATCATGGTTGATTAATGGTTATATGGCTTTGAGCTTTTATATCTGTTCTGATTATGGTGAATTTGAAATCCCCCACCACCACTGTCATTAGAAGTTTCTATCTGTTGCTGTTGTTGATTCTTCTTCTTCCACATAATTTCATCATCATCATCATAATCTTTATCATTATTCAAAACAATCCTTCATCTCTCTTTTGTTATCTCATTCAATGATGTTCTTCCATCTTTATATCCATATGTACCAACTCTTATCATCCGTGGTATAAACTATGTTTTTTAGGCTCCAATTTTACTCGAAGACGAAACCAGTGTTCAGTTTCCACCAGTAATTCTCTGTGCCTTTTTATTAATACTGGAAGTAGAAAAATGAAATGAAAATAGAGGGATCATTTGAAGCTGAAGAGTAAGGTTAAGAACATGATGAGTGTCCTGTCAAGATTGTTTCGTCACTTTCCAGAGTGAGCGTTCCCAGGATGTGATTCCGGGGGACGGCGCGGCCCTGGCCCTGTGTGTGGCACGGAGAATACCCGCCGTCCGGTCCGTCGATTGATCGTCTGACAAACCTCACCCCGGAGCTACCCCGCTGGTCACAGCAAGCTGCATTCAAAAGCGCTAGATAATAGAAGAAAACAGGATAAAATTAAGTCCCGGTTAAATACCTAGTGTGTTCCTTCAGTGGCTCTTATGCCTCCTGGAAGACATGCAGGGAACCCTACACCAGACTCTGATTTTGCCTGAAATAATCCCATTCAATACTTGTTTGCCTTGCTAATGGAAAGGCCTCGTGGGGACAGACCATCCTGCTTCTCCTCATCACACTTCCATGAAAGAAATAACGGGCAACAACTAAAGTTGAGCCGATGTGGGATAAATAGTGAAAAAGATTAGCTGGGCTACAAAGTCTTGTAGAATGGGAAAATGTTTACATTTTCTGCTCAAAATGTAAGAAAAATGATTTGTTAGAAAGTACATTTGATGACTTGTATCAAAAGGTGAATATAGGTAGGCCCATTCAGCCTGTGAGTCTTGTTTTTTCCCTGCAGACAATAAAATCTTAAAGAATGCTTTTAGGACTCCGTCAGAGATCCAATCCAGACAGATTATCGAATCATAAGGATATAGACAATAATACATCTTTCATTATTAAGCTGACTTGCCTTGAAATTTAACTGTTTATTTTCTAAATTTGTAAGCTGTATCGTTTTAATGCATGCATGCGAGACAAATTGTGGAATTCAACCATGCATACACACTCGTCCTAGAGACAGACAAAGCATGAGTCCTGTTGATAGAATATATGGTGTAACTGCAGACCTGACTCAAATTTTGTTAGAAAAAGAAAACAAATTGAACTATTTGCTACTTATCTTTAGTGAATTTATGTTTACTTCTTTTAACTAACCTTAATCAAACTGGTCAGGATCTGTAAGCATGTAGTTATTTGAAAGTAGCCGGCCAATGCTTCGTTTGGGAATTGTATATTCACTTACAGACTAAAAGACATGCCTGCCCTCACATGGTGTTTGATATTATTGACAACAGGATGAGATCTTGTGGTGTCTCTCTGCCATTCATATCCCTCTTGAAATCAGGTGTTGATGGAGTTGTACCACAACAAAAGATCTTGTTATCACATTATCACATGGGCACTAGCGGATTCGTAGGGGGGGGGGGGGGGTCATAACTGGACACTGCCCATGCCCTTTGAAACCCTAATGCCATACTTTACCTGCCAAACTCTAATAATGTGCCCACCCCATGAGGTTAGAATCCCTTCTTCTTTTTTTAATTCTTAACATTTTCTTTTTGTTATTTTCTTTTTGGAACTTATTAAAAAAGTTTGATAATAAAGTGCCCCCTCTTTTAGACAATCCTGGATACACCCCTCCCTATATATGAGAAACATAACAGAGTGGAAGTAAATGTTATTCTTCCCATGAATGACACATTGATAGATATATGAAGCCTTGGAATGACATGTTTGGAATACGATGTGCAAATGTTATCTCAACACCATTGTCACAGTGTGTGCTGTCTAGTGTTGAATCCAAACATCAATAGAATTCAGGAGTGTTTGTACTGACAACATACTTATGTGTGCTCCGTGATGATGGTGTAGCAGTCTTGTACTTAAACTTAAAGATTCATTTCCTCTAAATATCATTTAATTCTTTGTTTTTAACATAAAAAGTTACAATGATGTGATTGAGAAAAATGCAAAGGAGTTTGGACTAATTTTTCTTTTATTCGATCAGCCCACTTCGTTATCAAACTACTTTTTTTCCAAATAATATATATAGGCTTATAGGAAAAAACTTGAGTAGAGGCACTGATAATACCTAAAATGTATCTCGAAATCATACATGTACTCTCATGAAGCTTTGTCTCTCCTCTCAAACCTGAATACATGGTGTACTGCGATTATTTTTATTGGGGATGAGATACTTTAGGTGAAGATATCCTTGTTCGAATCCCTAATGACTTTTTAAAGAGGCAATTAACATTTGTTCCAAACGATGTTCAGTAGAAAGGTTTCCATTAGAGTGTGGTGAATTGACATTTAGAAAACAGCAACTGCTTGCTAATTATAAGCCATGGTCGTATTAAAGATGGACTACTTTTTGCGAAAGTGGTTTACAGCAAGATTGAACTGATGAAAATTCATGTATTGTTCACATTGGCAAGCTTTTAGAAAGTTGACACTGCAGAATAATTTTGAGGCTGATTATTACAGAATATACCCTAATAAATACTGCTAAAATTGTCCACAGGCCCCTGGCGGCCCTGCCATTTTCTGCAATTTCCCTTACAAAAAGCTTAAGTCTCTTTTGTCTGCTTATATTTTGTAATAATTGTTTATTTTTGTTGCATCCTCTTCTTGGCCAATATGTGATTGTGAATATTTTCAACAAAATCTTTCCATCAAATTAATCAAATTCTCATCAGAATGTATGGGGCGATGTTTATTTGTTTAGATATGATCTCTGTTTTTACTCAATAGTCATTATCCTGTTAATGCACAGCATTGTGTCGTCTAAATAGACAGATTATTTATCAGCAAACTATCTGTTTGCTTAACTTGAATTTCAGAATCTTCATAGTGTAATGGGTTGTATGGGAAAGAAAATATTTCATGAAGAGGTGCCGAAAGAGTAACAATTTTATTTTCAAGTCAGTAATCTTAAATAGATGTAGTATTGATACCACTCTTTTTCTAATGTGGCCATGACTAAATATTATTTTAAGATAAGGCTAGATAGTGGGTACTAAATGTCTGTCAAGAGATTGATAGATGTTTATGAGGAGATGTGAATATGAAACAAGAATTGTGAAGCCTTTAAAAGTATTGAAAAGACATTGTAAATAAAGTCAATGAACTGATGAAAGCAAACTTGAGCATATTTTAGAAATCAATAAAGTTTAAATAAACACCATTGCAAATGTATTGTGAACAGAGCCATTATCAATGAAAGAAGTTAGCATCTTTTAGAATAAAAAGTGTTTGAACAGTTTGAATCATGATCCTGATCAAAGCAATGAAAAAAGGTTGAGTATTGTTTAGAAATCAATATATTTTAAATGTCTGAATCATATCTGCATAAGTTGAGGATAGAAAAGATAGTATCTTTTAAAAGTCAATGAATTTTGAACACAAAGAGTTGCATGTGAATGAATAAACTATACTAACCTTTCCAAGTCCAGCCATCAGATGTTTCACTTTGAAATCTTCATATGCTCAATAAGATAGTGAATTATATTACAAAGATAAAACACTATCTTATGCATCTTGAGTGTGGTGTGTGTAGACACTGTAGAATGAGAAAACATACAGAATCTCTAGATAGCGAGGTGGCGAGCCCCAACAATAACAGGATGAAAATATGAAAATGTATATACCATTCATGATTTGTAGGATTCTGATTGTACAGAATAGCTATGAGATTACTGTTAAGAGATCAAATCTCTTTATCGGCATTTCATCAAAGGGCCTTTATAAAATAGACCTCCTTTAGGGATTAAATCCCTGTTTGTGTTAATTGTTCTGTGTTTGTTGGTGGGTCTCGGGCTTGGCATTGTCTTCTATATTCTAGTCATATATTGAGAATATAAATTTTGTAGGAGAACTATCGGCTAGAGGGGCATTGCCGCTGTGGTGCCTTTATCTTCCTCTACCCATTAAACTTATAAGTGGGAAATAACAAAGTTTCCATTTGATGCAACATAAGTAAAGTGATGCCCATATTATTGATTCAGGGAACAGAAGAGAAATCTTCTGGTTTGTAGTTGATTGTGAAGTCGAATCATGTTTTTGTGTCATTATAAAACTATTATTTTATACAAAAAAATTATATTTGTCAGGTTTTGTTAGGGACTAACATGTGACATACTCTCTAAAGCAGTTATATACTCGGTCTAAGAATTTAAACACTTTGTTAAAACATTTTATTTCTTTAAAAAAAGAAGAGAATAATGGTCTTTGCTTTACGGAATAGAAAGCTAATAACATTAATGCTGATTACCGGTATATATGTTTTGTCAGCAAATTGTCAATGTTTTTTATATTGTGAGTGTATGATGATAATTCTCAATGATTCAATTCATTTCATCATCATTTAAAATCAAAATTAAAAGGTAAAGTCTTATAAAATATTGATAGAGACAGAGTAAAGGGAAAGCTAAACAAATTGGTGTGCTTTGGAAAGTGTAGCTCCCCTGAATACAAATCACTAGTGCATGGTAGCCGTTTCTCAAACTGAAGCTTCATTGCAAATTGTTTCCTCAAAAATATGTCTAACTAACTTCCAGCATCTTTTTTTGTTGTTTTCTCTTCTCAGGTGTCCCTCTGTCTACACAATGGGGTCAGCAGGGTTATTTCTACCCGATCCAGGTAGCTCAGTTTGGTCTGAGTCATTACAGTAAGAACTTGACCGAGCGCCCTCCTAGGGTCACCATGTACGAGGATGTCGAAGGTCATGACCTGTCCAGCTGGTCAAATCCGAGCCCCAACGGAGAAATCAAGATTGTCACTAGTGAGGAATTAGACTCTCATGTCATAGAGTTTAAAACAACAGGTTCGTTTTAAATCACATTTTATATACTTTGTTCATAAGCCCCCCCCCCCCCCCCCCCTTCCAAAAAAAATATTTAAAAAATAATGATAATAATTAAGTAATTGATGGTGATGGTGATGGGGATGATGATAATGAGGATGAGGAGGATTTTTGTCAGATTTCTTGGGTCTTTTTTTTGGGGGGGGGGGGGGAGGGTGGGTACTAAATAGAAAGATAATGTATTGTCTTGTTAGCTTTGGTCAACCAATGGAAACAGGGAAGACTGTCCCCATTGATCTTTGTCACACCAGTGCATTTCGACTCCAACCAGTGTGGCTGCATGTCTAGGCTATTGTTCCTTGTAAACAAAACATTTATAGCTTTCCAAGATTCTCTTTACACAATTGTTAGAATCGAACAGACAGTTTTCTTGATATGTATTATGGGTCCCACTTTTGTTTTTACTTGCCCTCCCGTGGAAGTTTTTACATTTGATGATCAATGCAACCCATGTTGTGCATCATACATGATTAAGAATACCTTTTCATCAAGTTTCTCCCAATGTGTAGTTCCAGAACCAGAACTAAAAATTAGTTGTAGAGGTTTTCGTGGTCTATAGTCAATGGACTACGGATCACAAGCTTGAATCCCTGCCACTGTACTCGTGACCTTTGGCAGCACATGAATATACTTGCTTTTTAAATAGGTGCATTAAAGAAGACTTCTAACTGGTCTTCCACCATTTGCCACACTGTACCCAGGTAAAACAAAACTGGTTCCTGGCTGGATAATCAATTCCATGAAATGCTAGGGTGCCTTAAAGCCCATCTATACTAGTTGGGCAAGGGGGATTAGACCTCCCTGCAAGGTCACTGACAGATGGATATCTCATTAAATCAGCTCTCAATTAACATTAGAAAAAGAGGATCATGGGGGACCTACAGCCACCCATCAGGCATTGATTGCTATATACAGGGTGTAAGTAGCTATAAGTAGTGCGGTGGGGCTTTAACAGCAGCCATGCTACATTATCATTATTAGCTTTATGTTATCCATTTCACTTAACTTACTATGTTCACTATTTGTCTTTCAGGTGACACCAGTCCGTCTTCCAGCAGTGTGTGGTCCCACTCATTGGATACCAAGTCAGACTTTGTCATTGCGTTTGATCTCAAGTTGCTTGGCAACGCATCCATCACCATCGTGGCCGAGAGCGAAGAGCAAGGCCGCATCATCAGCCTCGTCTACACCACGGACGACGACGGCTTCGTCATCGGGAACAGGAAGGTCACATACGGTCTTGGACCGGTCACCCAGTGGCGGAGGATTACAAGAGCCTTGCAAATAGACTACAGAAAAGCAATGGCGTCGCTCAGTACTCTCAAATATAAATTAACTCGTAAATTCATTCTGCAAAGATTGCTTAGGATTGAGCTGCGAGGTCACGGGTTCATCGATAATATCGAGATTGGGACCTCGCTTCATATGTACCATTTTTACGATGCAGCTGACTGGTTAGTTCATCATCAAGACGAGCGAGGTGGATGGCCGATAATGGTGGAAAGGATACTAGATGATAAGATGTCATTATCACCAGGTTGGTATTCATCTATGGCACAAGGACAAGCCATGTCCGTCCTGACGAGGGCCTACATCAAATCCAGGAGGAAAAAGTATATCAAAGCAGCGCTTCATGCGGCGCGCCTCTTTCAGATACCGTCCGCGCAAGGTGGTGTCCTTGCCAGATTCATGGACAAGTATACCTGGTACGAGGAGTACCCGACATCGCCAGGCTCGTTTGTCTTGAACGGTTTTATTTACAGTATGATCGGTTTGTACGATGTGCTGAGTGTTGCCGATGTGGAGGAGAGCAGGGAGAGCCGGCGATTGTATGACGAGGGAATGGTCTCGCTAAAAGCAATGCTGTTGCTGTTCGACATGGGCACAGGGACGTTATATGACCTGCGACACTTGGCGCTGGGGAAAGCCCCTAATGTCGCGAGATGGGATTACCATGCGACACACATCAGTCAGCTTCAGCTGCTGGCTTCCATAGATCCAGATCCTATCTTTAAGGAAACTGTTGCAAGGTGGATAGGATACACAAAAGGAAAAAGAGCAAGACATAATTAATTCCACCATTGCAAAAAATAATAAAAATTGTGTAGTGTGTTGTGGTCTCAACTCATACAAAGAGCACATCTAATGAGTATTATAACTTTGGGTTGTTCCCAAAAGGGTATATTACAATGGAATGAAATATCTTATTTTCGCGGTACTGGTATAGATGTCCAGATTTGAGATAGAGGAGGAAACTAAAACAGTATTAATATTGAACTCATGTACTATGTTATGTTGTCAATGATGCGAACAAAATTTGAGGATACAGAGTTTGTTAATTTATTTTCAAACAACTTTAAGAGAATTTGATTGTCAGTTTCATTTGAATGACAGACTACTTTGGTTATTATTCTAAAGTATATTTAGATAATTATTGCTTTGAAACTCCATTTGTTGCCAAACAATTCAGCATTATAATGTAGTTATTCATGGTACATGTAGGGTTCTCTTACGTTGTAAGAATTTGATTTTGAATTTCAGTTGTTTATGTATGTGGTTATTTTGGTAAATAATGATGAGGTTTTGTATATATTTTATGCATTTTATGAATATTTTGTCAAAAATCATGCACAAAATTACTAATACGGGGAAACACTGCACCATTATGAAGATCGTTTCATGTAAAGAATTTGTTTTTATTAAGTACAGAGTTGATCAAAAGCATTGTAAATGAATTTTGATCAGGTGGATAAAAGTCCCTCTTACATTTCTATTGGACTATTTTTTTGTTTGATAAGATTTATTCATAATGTGTTTGTCATTTTATTATAAATTCTTTGCATTGATATTAATAATTTGCCCATGAAGTACTATGCAAACTTTGATGATGAACAAACAAAGTACTTTTCTATTTCTTGTTGGATGGGGAATCCCCTATTTTTGTATTTGGTTTCATTTGAGCTTTTATCCTGTTTGTAAAAAGTCAGAGACTAAACATTTTTGGGGATGAAAGTGATTCCCCCTACATACAGATATTGTGTGAAATATTACAGTCATATAGGCTAATAAATAAATATAAATTAGTAAAATGTTAAGTAATACATTAATATGAATTAATTAATATAATTATTATAACATATTAATTAATATGGGCCAATATGTCCTGCCTTTTCATATTCTGTATATATCCCATGATAAGCGGTATGGTTAAGAATAAATTATTATTTGGTGCTTGTACTATTTAAGTAAGTAAACCATTTCATTCACCTTGGTATTAGATCGCCATGACAACTTGTACTGCTTATATATAAATCAGTACTGCCCAATGCTATTTGTCATCTAGATTTACAGTAGATACAGATATTTAGACAAGTGCATGTACAGTCCAACCTGCTTTAGTGACCACCTGTCTACAAAGACCACATTTTGTGTTTCCCTTGGAATTGGTTTCCCATTGAATCATGTACTAAAGGAATCTGTATACAAAGACCACTTTTTGTGTTTGCCTTGGGCGGTCGCTATAGACAGGTTTGACTGTATTTTGATTTTCCTGATTGGAGGTTTTGGATAACGATTCAAATACTACAAATTGTAGTTTTGGTGCCTGTAACTCTGTAAGTCTTTTTTTCTTCAGAGTAAAGCCCAAATCGGCTTCAAAGTTTGGACAGTCGTGAAACAGGTCTGTTGTCAGGATGATATAGAGGTGATTTCCTCACTCATTGAAGCTTGCAATACCTCAAGATGTTGATTTTATTATGTGTTTGTTAAAGGTACTATGTCCCATTTGCAGGCCAAAAAAATGAAAAAGTTAATTTCCAAGTGCATTTGAAAGATAATACTAATTTAGAACTTCCCTAAAAAAGGTGGGGCTCGAAAATGTCTTCAAGTGGGAAAATAACGACTATTAGTTGTCAAATCGACTTTAGGGCTATAGAGCCCAAAAGTAATAGTCTTGATTTTCAGACAATATTGTACCGAATGGTCATACGTTTTATGCTGCACAAAGATTCAATCAGTTTAATCTTGGCCATCATAAGAAGTGGGTTATTGATGTAGACAAATGCTCATGTACCCTTTACAACTCTTTTCATGTATGTTATTACCAAAGAAGAAAAAGCCAGTCAGTGACTCAATAGTGTCTGACAGTGAAGTCAGCAAGTAGACGGGTTTCCTTGCATAATTTGAATATGAGGACACTGCTAACATTTCAATTTCACAGATAGGACATACATGACATATTCATCATTCCTGCCAAGTTCTACAGAATTTGAGGTTGGCTGCAAAAGGGACATAGTACCTTTAACACTTGATAGTGATGAGTTGTATTCTAAAAGTCATCTTCTATGTTGATGTGATAGTTCTGGGCTAAGTTAGACCAGGATAGATTGTTTGCCTGCCTCATTCAGGACAATATTATTTTCAGAAGAAAAAGATTTTATGCATAAAGATGTAAAGATTTTTCTTTTTCGTTGTTAATAATATTAGAGAGGACATTCATCAAAAGAGTTTTACAGTACCACAGGAATTTGTAGATCTTTTTTTTTAACTCTAACAATTATAAATGACTTACACTAAGGTGAAATACTGATGAAGGAGAATTTGGAATAAGTTTCATTTATTTGTCTTTTCAGATAAAAATGCAGACCTTTTTTGTAATCATACCCTATTTTCAAAACAGAATGAAATGGGCGTTAAATGGTGCTAGGCTAAGCTGCTAAATTGTTTTCAGTTTTATAACAGTGTATTAGCAGTCAAAGAAGTGTTAGAAAGGATGATTATGAGTGGCTGAGGATAATTGAGCAAGATAAAAACAGGAAATAAATCTATGTGTGATTGATAACTCCTGTTAAATTTAATGCTTTCACCCCATGCATGCATGTACTATACTGTTACAGACTTCTCAGTATTATGTCTCTAGACTCATAAGGGCATTGTGCCAGTTAAAACTCTAATGTTTCTCAAGAGACCATATCATCTGCTTAGGGCCAGAAGGGTGTTGATTTATGTAGAGTTAACGTCCTTCTGTATCTCAGCTCATGATATTGTCCTTTCATTTTAGTGTCCATACATAGTAATGTATCTAGATTTGTATTGCTTATGTCTGTATATGTTTGGTCTGACATGTATGTATTTGGAGATAATTTGAATATTTTGAATTGGAATGAACTATTGTTTTTATTTGCATATTGCAGAGCTAGCTCTTTATAGCTTATGGGGGGTCGTCGAGGAGGTAGTGAGAATAGGATTGTCACTTTGACGCAAGAAGGTCGCCATTGCTTTTATCTTTCTCTCTTTCTTTCTCTCTCTCTCCTCTCTCTCTCTCTCTCTCTCTCTCTCTCTCTCTCTCTCTCTTTCTCTTGTCTCTGTCTCTGTCTCTTTCCCTCTTCTTCTAAATGATGTGTAGAAAATGTATTGCTTCGCATTCTACGTTGGATGATAATCCATTGTGAACGATTGTGTTTGCTCAGTTAGATCTGTATAAAGGTTCAATTGAAAGAAATAAAGTGTGGTCTTTATAGACAGAAGTCTTTATAAAGGTAATATGATGAAATGATTTTTGAAAGGAAATGAAAAAGAACAGTCTTCGTAATGGTTGGTATTAGAATGATTGGAATATTTTCACTGCTAAATTTGGTGAGATATGCTTGTTAATGTGAGGCATTCTTTAATACAAAGTGTATTAGCATCTGTTTCGGGCCAGAAGGGCATTAGCTATTAGATATGAGTCAATGCCCTTCTGGCTCCGAACAGACATGTCAGAAAGAGGTTGAATGACAATGGATTATTATTGTTTTTAAAGATATTTAAAAAAGAGAAAAAAGAATGAAAGAAAAGAATCTGAGTCTTCTAGTTAAACTGCTTTCATTAGACGTGTACTTTGTCTGGGTAACTATAGTCTGTCTTCCCCTATCTGTAGATCATATCTATTTTCTATTTGTATCTTAAATTGGTCTGATTATGTTTCATTGTTAATCCTATTTTTTCACTTTGTCGATATGGTTTTTGACTGCATCAATCAAAATGAAAGGATGCATAAAACAATGATCTTCTTTTTTCTTCTTTTTTTTATCTTCATAGAATGGAGGAAAGATATTTGTATACACATTGTACTCAAACTGTCAATAATTTACATGATGCTTAAGCCGATCAGAAAATCATGTCATCTGGGCAAAGTGCTGTTTGACATTGTTTAGAATGCTGAGAGCCATATTTCTTTCTTAAAGTATAACGTCCTGGCTCTCAGCAGAGGATTTTTGTAATATATTTAAAAAACATTGTATTTATGAAAGACTCATTCACTGCTCAACAAGAAATCTCTTTATCTTAGGTTCCCTCAGTTTTCTCTTTCTTTCTCTCTCTCTCTTTCTCGCTCTCCCCTCTGTATTTCTCTCTCTCTCTCTCTCTCTCTCTCTCTTTCTCTCTCTTTCTCTCTCCCTCTCTCCCTCTTTCTCCTTCTCTCTCTTATTCTCAATCTCCCTTCTCTTTATGTATTAGATCAGTCATCTCTTCAGTTTTCATCTGTCTTGCCTATCCTAATGTGTTGTATTCTTCCATAACTGTTTGTGTTTCATGTCTGTGTAAAGAAAGTACTTTGTATCTCAAATACTGTCAAAAGATGAGAGGCTGTATTTTTTGTTTATTTTAATGCCAAAAAAGCTTGGACATACTGATATTTTTGTATAGAACATTGTGGCATGTGTATGTATATTATGATTGCTTATTTTCTTAATAAGGACTGCAAGTTATTATGTTTATTTATGTTTATTGTATGTGCACCTCATTTTGCAAGGACCACATCACTTGGAAAGTATATATTATATTTGGTTTGGTGTAAAAAATGGGTCGAGACTCGAGACAAAATAATACTGGTATTTTGTTGTTGTACTAAATTGAATTTTTACCGTGGAAAATATACCTTGCTTTGTTGACTAATCTGAAATGTTGAAGATTATTAAAATAAAAAAACGTTCGGTGATATTTTATACTATATATTTGTAAATAGTTGTTTCTGTGTATCACATTGTATATGAGACTGTGAAGAGATAATGAATGAAAGATGAGGAAGAAGAAATCAATGGAAGGTGAATGCATGTAACTATGAGAGATGATTAATATTATTGTTAATGGAATGGAAGAGAGAACGCCAAAGAGAAAGGAGCATGTCTATTCTTCTGCCAATTTTTTTATTCTTTTTATTCTTCTTTACTTCTTCTTTACTTCTTCTTTTTTCCCTTCTTCTTTCTCTTCATCTTCTTCTTTTCTTCCTCTTCTTCTTCTTCTTCTTCTTCTTCTTCTTCTTCTTCTTCTTCTTCTTCTTCATCATCTTCTTCTTCTTCTTATTCTTCTTCTTCTTCTTCTTCTTCATCTTCTTCTTCTTCTTCTTCTTCTTCTTCTTCTTCTTCTTCTTCTTCTTCTTCTTCTTCTTCGTCTTCTTCTTCTTCGTCTTCTTCTTCTTCTTCTTCTTCTTCTTCTTCTTCTTCTTCTTCTTCTTCTTCTTCTTCTTCTTATCCTCCTTCTTCTTCTTCTTCCCCTCATTTTTTAGGGGAAAGGATATGAGATTAGGCCCAAAGCATGGACTTAGCCTAATCAAAGATTTGAATGAGAGAAAAGGTTTGAGGACAATCTGATAAAGGATAAGAAAATTATGTAGTTTTATTATTGCGATTATCAAACAAAATTTACATCTCTCGTGCGAATACTTTCAGATCAATTTAAATCTATTTTTACTTCGAAAATTGTTTTTTAAAAAAGGTACTCTATTATCTAAAGAGGGAGGTAATAATGTATAGAACCCTTAGAGTGAGATTGGTCTCGCTGTTTCGTTAATTGTTTTACGAGCAGTAAATAAGGCCTTATGAAGAAGAAAAAAGATCAACCATGGAAGGTACCTGGAAAATGAGAGAACCCTGGTTGTTTATTGATATCGCCCTCTAGGTGGCGCTCTTTGCGTTCAGATCTGTAGGAACACCAAACTGAAACGTTCATCTGGCTCAAATTAACCTTTTGGCTTTCAAAAGGCATTTTCATAATTTCTATAATTATACTGAATAATTTATGAGAATACCATTTGATTTAATATGATTTCACAATTGGTATTCAAGAGACATATCATCATGCTTATGACAAAATACAAAATGTAGTATCAAGACTGTTTATTGTCGAACCGGTTTTAAACATGTAGAATTGGTAATGACAAAACTCAGGTGTTTTTATATTCTTCCTAATTCAGAGTGCCACTTGTTAAAGAGAGAGAAGATAAAAATTTCTTTATGTTTTCTGTTCTTTCTATTTTCTGTTTTTAAGGGGTCCCCTGTAAAGAATTGTTTTGGTAACTCAATATTAAGGGGAAAACAATAATTAAAAAAAATAGGAAATAAGGATTAGCTGAGAATCGAAGCCATTACCTTTGCATTGTCACAAGTCCAGTCTGCCTCACTGGTATTACCTAGTTCGCTTTTATTTGTTAACGCTTTCTGATGTCAATGACTTTTTTTTTTAATGCAGATTTGCTGATTTTACACTATAGGGATACATGATGATTAATAAGTTTAGACACCGATGATGTCAAGATTGCCCGTAACAAAATATATATTAGTATCTAATGAGATAGTGAGATTTGATGTTAGTATCATTTATCTTATAAACTGCCGACATATAAACCTGGTCCATGATTTGATCAAGTATGCGTGGCATTCCCTACCATGGAATCAGTAAATAGGAAAGCTTGGCTATTCAATTCTGTTATCAATAGGTGGCATCATAGTTACGTAACAAACTACACATATCTTTCTGAGATAGCATCAAATAAAGGAATTGAAAAGGAAACGATACTCCCTTCCTCGGTGAACCATGCATTTCTTGGTCTTTTATTTAAATGCACTTTTGATACACAAATAGACCAAACTGCAGATGATTGAGAGATGAAAATAAATCAATGCGAGAGTTTAAATGCTTAAAATAACGACAGTAATAAGAAAGGCATATTCAATTCAATTTTTCAATTCAATTCAATTCAATTTATTTATTTTCCTCTTTCAATCGTTCATATTTATAATGATGGTACATTTTAACATATTCACATATTTATATTCATATATATCAATTTGCACAATACGATATATTAATAAAATAAACATGAAATTGAAAGGGAAGGAGGGCCGACTAAAAAAGTCGGTGTAAGCCCCCCTGTAAAATTAATTATTATGAATTATTATTTTATGAGAAAAAAAACAACAACAATAATAATAACTGATTAAGTAATACCAAAAACAAAAAAAAAAATCACTTTTAAACGCAAAACATTGATATGTACATAAGGCTACTGTGCAAAATACCAAACAGAAAGTAAGTGTTAGCACTAATTATCCAAGTTAAAAAGGGGGTAGTTATTAAAAGGGGAAGGGGCACTTCTTACAAAGGTAAAGGGCACTCAGCTAGTAAAAAGGGGCACCTCTCACATTTGATTAGGGCAATTATCAGAGATGAAGTGGGCACTTATCAAATGTGAAAAGGGGCACTTCTCGTACCTGAAAGGGACACTCACTAGCGATCAAAATGGGCACTTATGAGAATGGGAAATGGATACTTATTGCAAAGGGAAATGAGAACTTGTCGAACTAAAAAGGGCACGTCTCATAATAAAAGGGGCACTTATCAGAGGTGAAAAGGGGAAGGGGGCACTTGTCAAAGTTAAAGGGGCACTTTTCCTATATAAAAAGAGGCACTTTGGGGTGCTTAAAAATGGGGGGGGGGGGCACTGTGCCCCCTGCCTCCACACCGGGAGTGCCGCCTCTGGTTGAAATTATCATTAACATGGAGAAATTGACTTTGATGTTGAAGATACAGGGTTAAAATACAATTCTCTTTTGGAACTTTTTAATGAATTTCATGATGTAACTACTTAATTATTATACACAACTTTAGTACATGGTAAAACATATTTATCTTCCGCGTCTAATACATTTATGTAGCTTTATACTTTGACTGAAGAAGCAGAGATAAAGGAATATTGTTAATAATGTTCTTCTGTATAATGTTTTGGATTAATGTACAAATCAAGTTTCAAATTTGAATTGTTTTACCTTCTGAATGATGTTATTTGTATTTACCATGTTTTTATTTTTATTACTTCTGTTTGGAGAAGAAGAAAAAAAATCATAAAACAAAACAAAACATTAAATAGAGGAGAAGAAGACGAGGTATAAAAAAGAGAAAGAAAAGAAAGAAAGATAGAATGAAGAAGAAGAAGTGAGCAAAGATTAAAAAAAAAAAAAAAAAAAAAATGATAAAGGGGAGGAAGAGGAGGAGGAGGAGGAGGAGGAGGAGGAGGAGGAGGAGGAGGAGGAGGAGGAGGAGGAGGAGGAGGAGGAGGAGGAGGAGGAGGAGGAGGAGGAGGAGTGTATTGCTTTCACATCATTAATTTTGCACACTTTCTCCAGGTGTTATGCCATGGGGGAGTGGGAGGGGTGTGTTAAGGAATAGACTATAGAAGCAGACTGTATTTAGTAAGTAGAGATATTATTTTATTTTGCGAGTAAAAAAATAACACAGTTCCACAAAAAATCAGTACTTAAAATTACTAAATTTTGTTAATTAACTTATTTGTTTAGAGTTATTCTAATGTGACACAAGGTAATATAATTTTTGCGAACGATTTAAATTTACGTGTGTACTACAAGACTACTAAAAGGCAATCAAGCGCAGGTGTCACGTGACCGTGTTGTTACGTACCTCATTTTATCTGGCGCAGGATTACTTGACAAAATATAAGTTTTTAGGGGATAATCGAACTTTTCCTAACCACAGAAGTAGGCTTAACTTAATCATTTAGACTCTGACAAGATGGTCGGAAATAAATCCATGGCGGTGAGTTCTCCAAAGGAGCTCCTTTTGCCAATGATCGTCCCCCAAAAGCTGTTGATGGGACCAGGGCCTTCCAACGTACCACCGAGGATCCTCGCAGCCGGAGCTCTGCCGATACTTGGACACATGCATCCGGAGACTTTAAAGGTCAGTCGTTGTATTTTACAGATCCTTCATGCTTTCTTATTTCTATTTCTTCTTCTTCTTCTTCTTCCTCGGTAAATGCTACTTCATACAACGAATATTATGCACTGCAGTGTGGTGTGTGCCATGTCCGAAATGTGTGTAGGCCTCAATCCAGGTGCAAAATATATAGACCATGATCAAGATAATTAACACATTTTTCACTTGATATTGATGCCTGCCTGCAGCAGCTAGATCTAGTGCATGGTCAAATTGTGGTGGACAAGATGAAATTGAAACTAAAGGGTCCTTAACTTAAGTAATGCACATGCATGTAATAAATTAAAGCTGTCAGATGAGAATCTCACCCTGATTTCTATCTAGACCTACTCATAATTTCACAAAATGGAAAGAAATTAATGAGATTCTTGTTGCTCAGTTACATCAGAAGTTTGGCTAGCATTGAAAGCATAACATTGCACGTATTTGCAGGGTGTGTACATGTACATGTAAAGTAAGGACCCGCATAACTTTAGAACCCTCTACCGTGTATGTATGATGTATCATGATGTATTTTCATATTGCACTCCTCTAGATCATGGACGACATAAAGAAGGGATTACAGTATGTATTCCAGACGAAGAATGAACTAACGTTCGCTGTGAGTGGTTCAGGACATTGTGGGATGGAGGCAGCCATGATGAACCTGATTGAACCCGGTGATGTGATTCTGGTTGCTTCCAATGGGATCTGGGGAGAGAGAATAGCAGATCTAGGCAAGAGACTTGGTAAGAGAAATAAACCCAAAGCAGAACTGTTAAGCATTCCCATCTGCTTCCTCTATTGGGTTACCTGCTCTTATCTTCTTCTTTTTTAATAATAACAAATCAGAAATATTTTCACAGGGTAACATCATATTGGCATTATTTTCTTCCACACAGCCCAGACATATCCCAAATGGCAGCCATTTGAAAATCTAAAAATAGGGTGGCCTTCTTTGAAAATCACCTGGCCGATAGTCTTTGAATATGGAAGGCTTCTTCTGTCCTTGATGATCTAGGTAGTTCTGATGACACTTATTGAAGTTATTTGCAGATACTTTAAAAAGATAACAAAGAAATACACACATCGTTTTAGGAAAACACCATTAGCTGCATTTAAAGTAAATGGGTTGAGATGCATTGTATTTTGTTCTGCAATTTGGCAATCTTATAAAATCATTTTTCATGCCGGGTAAAGTATATGCCTACATGTATTTGGATTTTAAATTTTCTGTCTTTACATATAATGAAAGTAGTCGGTTTCTTTTAGTTTTAAGAGCTGCTTATTTCAAGGTATGCATTTTTGATCTCGTCAGGAAACCTTCATTAACATCCCTCGATCAGTATCCCTTGATCAGTAGGCATCTAAGGTTTCACTGTTCAAGGAGATCATAATCCTATTTATGAAGCATGATGGCCGGCTTAGTGGCAGAGCCGTGGTCTTGTAGCCAGGAGGTCCTAGGTTAAAAACCAAGGGCTTGTGCCCTTTGGTAAGGCATTAATCCTCATTACCAAGTCCTTCAGAGGGCAGGTCCAAGCTATTGTCCCCTCTGGGGGTCAAATTTCATCTTTATATATATTTAACAAACTATACATCATTTTAAAGCTGAAACTATGAATTTTATGAATCTGATAAAAAAAATAAAAAATCATCAAAATACGAAGAATGCCAAGGTCACGAACTTTGATTTGTGTTAATTAGCGTGACGTACGGGACATTACATTTTTATTTTTGTATCTCATTTGAATTATTTTTTCAAAATTAAATATTTTAGGACATGTAGACCATCATACTAGAAAATAGGAAAAAAATATAAAAACTTTCAAAATTAATTAATTATGCAAATGAGGTAGGTTCCAAAATGTGATGTCCCGTACGTCACAATTTGACATTAATTTGTTTAATTTTAATTATGAAAATAATTTTTTTTTTTAAAGATATTCTAGGAAGTTCTAATTTACATGAATACCTAGCAAAAAATAGGTTTAACAAAAATTACGAAAATTCTGTGTTGATTACATAATCAAATTAAGAAATGTGACGTACGGGACAAGTGTGTGACGTACGGGACAACCCCATATAAAACCAATGCAAGATGTGAAAAAGGGAAATGACCAAAAGGAGAATATATATGTGTTAGGAAACTTGTTGTATACAGGGATATATGAACATTCCAACTGGGTCCCTTCTAGGAATTTACTCATACTGTTGTTGTTATTGTTTAAGTCTTAAAGGCATGTGTCATTCAATTATGAATTTTTATTGATGTAATTAGTCTTCAAGCCAGACCCCTGGTATTATCAACTTTGGTATTTTGCCAGTTGATGTCCCCAACATTGGCAGGATGCTAAATATGTAAATCATAATAGTACATGTACATGTTATGGAGCCAGCTCAGGAATTTTGATCTCCTAAAAACTAAATCATAACTTTTAAGGAAGGATAGCCTCTCTCACTCTCAGCCACTTAGGATTTTCATCACTTTTACATCCATGCATTTTTGTTGAATTACGCTTTAATCTTTTGAATTGTGGAAAAGGTCACACAAACCTAGGGTTTTAATTTATTATATCTGGTGGTGTTAATAAGATGTCTTTAATCAATACAAAATACATTCAAGATTTATATTTTTGTATCCATCTTTCACAAACATGTACATTAATGTACCGGTACATTAAACTTCTTGAATATATGACAGCAACATATATATGTACATGTTCTAATCTGTGATAAAAAGATTAGAATAAGACAATATGTTCAGCGTTATCTTTGAATTCCTTCGAAATTCTATGATATTACTATCAAGTAATTCAAACAAGCTATGAAGAAAAGATTTCATATTTGTAATGTACCGTATCTTTGTTCACAAAATATGATGTGCCGAGTGTGCCCCCGTGTTTCAAACAAGTTTTAATGAAAGTTTTCAAGTTCAAGTTCATCTTCTTCATTAATTATTATTTTAAAACATTTACATGTACATGTAGCACTGTTGAATGGAATGGATGAAAGAAATGAGAAAAGAAGCATGACTGCACATGATAGATGGGTAAATGGAATAAAAATGGTAATATAGTGTGTGTGTATGTATGTAATTTAATTTGTTTTCTTTATTAAAGTAATATTTGTATTGATTTACCTCATAAATTAACACAGAGGATATTGAGTGATGGTCAGAGGATCTAATTGGGTTCTAAAACACTCTAATTGTCACTGATTTAAGTTAAAATTGTTCATATTTAACAAATTTTGACGAAAATTCTTCATTTCAATGCATTTTCCCATAGGGAAAAGTTGTCCCGTACGTCACGTGTCCCGTACGTCACATACACACATTTATGTTTTGGTATATTACATAACAACGGAAGGTCAGAAAAATATAGTTATAGTTGTGATTAATGCTTGATTCCATAATGAATTAAGATATCATTACCATAAATCTCATAACTTCATAAATTCAGAGAATTTTTACGACAAACTTATTTTTGAAAAAGTCAGAAATTCTCTGGTCCCGTACGTCACGCAGCACATTAATTACATTAAAAATTAATTTATGAATTGTTCAGAACTAAAACTTTCCACAAATGAACTAGCCCATAATAGCCACAGACTCATACCAAAAGATAGCCATATAAATAATTTCATCCATTGTTATTTCTTGTTTAAAGTCTCTGAATGTCCCGTACGTCACAATCCAAATAGCTTGGACCTGCCCCAGAGAGGACTTAAAGTCTCCCGTCCACTGGTTGTTTACTTACAAGCATTTACATGTTTTCTTAGCAGTCGGGTAAAACAATCATCAATCATAATGGCATTCTATTTTTCTCCCTGTCATTGTTTTTATTTTATCAGGAGCCAATGTGAAAGTATTGCAGAACCCAACTGGTGTAGCATTCTCCCTCAAGCAGATTGAACAGGTCAGTGATGAGATAAAGTTGAAGAACAATAGGATGGAGAATTTCTTTTGAGATTTCCATTCTACCTTTGATGATGTAAAATTAGGGGTCAGGTTGACAATTGTTTTGTTGTGTTTTTTCCAAAATATTTTTTCTTTCATATTGAGACAAATCTAGAACCCCTTAGAACTACTGTCATGACCATGCCTGCACTTACATGTAAACATGACTAGTAACTGTAACATTTGTAATGTATCAATTTAAACAAGTACATGGACATGCACCTTTGATGGGTACAGTTTTCATACGTTGGATCTGCATCTGAGTAACAGTGATTTTACCAGAAACAAACATCCCTTCTCTGCCCCTCCCCCCTCCTCCACCCCCAGATGAAAAAGTGTGCACTAACCTAGGATACGCCCCACTCACAAAACTTTGAAAGAGTCTTTTCTTCTTTTTTTCTTTCATCAGAGTATTCACGTTTACAAACCAGCCTTATTTGCCATCACACATGGAGAGTCATCGTCTGGTGTGTTACAGCCATTGCAAGGAATTGGAAACGTGTGCCACAGGTAACAAACAAGGAATATCACCCTTATTTTTTTATCCCGGGGGTTGGGGTGGTGGCACTTCCACCTACACTGTAGGCAACTATTCAATTTTCAATCCAATGTGGAAATTTAGCTTTTAAAAAAAAAAATCCTGTATGGCATTGATAGGGCTAAAATGAAATTTGTATTCTTATTTGTCATAGCTTCAGCTTTCAAAATATATTTCTTTGTTCACACAAGCTCTTTTTGGATTATATGTTGAGCATATACGTAAATCAAATTGTTATCTTATACATGTAGATGTGCTTGAATGTAAAATTATATTGTTTACTGAAGATTTACTGTTTTGTTTATACAGATTATATTAATTTCAATATTGCATTACCAAACATATTCTCTATTAGCCAATAATAGGAAGTGAAACTATAATTTCACTCTCCATTTGTCTTAGGTGAATTATACGTCCATTTTGTTCTCCATATACATGTACCGTGCACCCACATGACAATAGGCCTACTTTGAAGCATGCAAAACAGATACATTTTCTTAGCACTGATCATAATTTATTCAACTGTTATATTCCTCCTATGAATTTGCGTAAGTCATATCATAAAACACTTATTTTTCCACATCCATTACCCACTTCCGTTATCCCACCATCAATATTCTTTAATCTAAGGTGTACCTATAATTGTTTGTTATGAATGTACTATTTTTAATGACTTTGTAATACTATTGTATTTTGTGCAGTATCCTTGTGTTAATACTGATGTATAAATTGCACTCGATTCAGCCGAAAGGCTGCCATGTACAATGTTGTTTTATACCACAATAAATAAATAAATAAAATGTATATACAGTTAACAACTGAATTATTTGTACCCTACCAAGGTTTATAATTTTAAAGTCTGAGAAAAGTTTATTTGTTCCAATGTATGTTTCTTGATAATGTGACATATGAAGCTCACATTAAAAGGTATTCAACAAAAGCCATGATTCAACCAGTCGACCTTTCATTCTTGTGTTACGAAAAACACACAAACATAAAATTTACAAGGGGTATGAATGATTTAGTTGTATATAGTTCTTGCTTGTCATATTGATGATTTGTTTCTATTTCTCCTGCTGTCTGTCTAGGAATGATTGTCTCTTCTTGGTAGACTCTGTTGCATCTCTGGGAGGGGTGCCTATGTTTGTGGATGAATGGGGTAAGAGTACATGATCATTTACAATGAAAGGTCATGGACATTATTCAGTTAGAAAATAAAATCATAAGTATTTTACTTATTTTTTTGGTATGCATTTGATTTTTGTGGCCAATGATTTTACCCTAATGCTAACTATATTACGCATTGCGGATGTAGTATCGAGAATAATATCGCTAGTGATATTCGTTTGTCTCGCAATGTATGGTCAACAAGAGATCTAAAAGATCACAACGTTTCGTGCGCCTCTGCAACACTTCGTCAGAAAGCTGCATTTAAAGCAAAAGAAGACATTCTGGCTTATTGTATGATTTGATACGACCGAGGTACTAATGGAATTGAACCATAAGGAGCATCACAGTCACAAATGTGCTATTTTTCGGCAAAACAGCTGCTTCTATAAAGTAAATACTCTGTGCATTAAAAATACTTTTATATCAACAATTCATAGTGGAATTAGGCATTTTTTGATATTTTTCTGAAAGATGAATGAATATGCTTTAACATATGTTCAAATTTCTACCAATTTCTTCCAGGTATTGATGCCATCTACAGTGGTAGCCAGAAGGTCCTTGGTGCACCCCCTGGTACTGCTCCTATATCATTCAGTCAAAGAGCAATGTAAGCACTATTATATAAAGCACCTCATGTACATAGATTTGAACCTGATCAGGATATATTGAATATATTGATTTATGCTGCAAAGTGCATAGAGAACTAACTCACTTTGTTATGCAATCTCCAAGTATGTACTGTTATTACAATCAAATATATTCAAGTGTCCACCTGTATAGAAAGCCCATCTGTATATAACGCTACATTTTTGTATCCCTTGACCAGTATTTCTCACTGGAACCTGTCATAAAGGAACCTGTATATAAAGGCCACCTTCCTAAATAGATCACATTTCTTAAATCTCCTGAGTAGTCTTCATGTCCACTCCCATGGACTGGTATGTACTTTAGATGGACTTTGAGTATCACGTTTAGAAGACTAACAATTATTTTAATTTGTTATATGTAATATCTTTGTATGTATTCTACACATCAGAATAATGGAACATTATATGTCGTCTGTTTTGAAGCCGGAAGAGAATTAATTTTGTATAAAATCATTGCCCTTCTAGCTCGGAATGAACGATATATGCTTTGCTCATTTTCATCTTCTTTTACCCAGATCCAAGTTTAAGAGCAAGAAGATCAGAGTGCCTTCTTTCTATCTGGATCTGAATCATCTAGCCAACTACTGGGGATGTGATGCAGGGCCTAGGAGGTATCTTAAATTATTTGTTGGTTATTATTATTTTTATTCTAATGAAATTGAAGGAAATGAATACATAACTTCATTCACATTCATATTTTTACCAAAAAACAAACAAACTTGGAATTGTCTTCTGTAAATAATACTGCAGCATTTGTAATTGCTCCATCGATCCAGTAAACTATTCCAAGGCGCAGAGGGAGATTATTACCCTGGCTTTAGCACGGCTGCCATTAGTATTACGGCCATTCTGTATATATATAATAACCTGTTTATTATATTACCTATTATTAACTGGTGGAAGTAGTAAAGAGAAGTGGATTTAGATGGATGGGTCATGTGTTGAGAAGGGAAGATGATGAACCTGTGAAAAGAGCTTGAGATCTGGAAGTGGATGGCATGAGATGGTGATGAAAGAGAGCATAAAGGTTGGTATAAATGAAGTGAATGCTCGAGACAAGAAGAAGTGGAGAGAGGAAGTGTTATGGCACAAAAGTCAGTATCCCATCGTATGAGGGAAATGCTAACTTTAATCAAAGATGATGATGTTTTGTGGTTTGTGTTCATTTTTTCTGTTACTTGTGCTGTATTTTGAGTAAGTTAAAGAATTTATTTGATTGAAATTGCTTTTGTGTTTATTTTTCCCAGATACCACCATACATGTCCAGTGACAAACCTGTATCAACTGAGAGAAGGATTGGCTATGGTAGCAGAAGAGGTAGGCCAGAAATCAATCCTTCTCAGTTTCTGTCTCTCCTCTATCTCTTTCTCCATTATCTCATTATCTCTTATTCTATATTCCCACATGCCAATGTGTGTGTCATCTGTTTGTCTCCATTCTAAATTCTCTCCTTTCCTCCTGCTAGTGAGTTCTCTCTTTTCTGCCACTTTTTTCCTTCTCTCCTCTCTTTCCTTTTCTCTCCTCTTTCTCTCTGTCTGTCTTCCATTGCTTTTTCTCCCTTTCCACTTTCCTCTCTATCTCTTTCATTCTATCTTAAGCTTTTATTTCTTATTTCTCATAGCCTCTGTCTAGACCTATCAAATGATATGTTCATCTCCCCCCCCCCTCTCTCTCTCTCTCTCTCTCTCTCTCTCTCTTTCTTTCTCTCTCTCCCCTTCTCACACTCTGTATTATAATTCTCTCTGTACATTTTCTGGTATAACTTGATTTTTTTTTTCCTTTTGTCATGAGCCAACATTGAACAGATATAATGTTCTTCTAAATATGGACATTATGTATCGTGAGAAGGAATTAACATCCTTCAAGAGTCACAATTGTATCTATTGCTCTTCATATACCACATGTTTTATCTGTACCTTCCAGGGGCTAGAAGGATGCTGGGAGCGCCATAGGGCTGCAGCCCGTTCCCTCTACGCTGGACTGGAGAAACTGGGACTTAAATTGTTTGTTGAAGATGAGGTAAGATCGGTGCAGCTGATGTATGATGAAATAAAACAAGTATTTTCTATCCTGTTATCAAGGAGAACTGCCACTATTGTGTTATGCTTCTGCTACATGAATGTAGAATACTACTATTCAGTTATTACCTTCAGAAAAGCCTTGAACACACATCTTTTTTGCAGTTTGTAGCTGTAAGATTGTTTTTCGTATTACATGTATTTATGGAACTGCCATTACTGTGAGCACTTTGGGCCTTATGGGAAAAGCGTGGTATAAGTAATAATAACAATAATATGTTCCCCTTTGAGTGCCCTACATGTAGAAGGCCTGTGTACAAAGAATTTACAATTAAGGAAGGAACATTACTCTTACTTGTATCCAAATGAAAATCTACATCTTAAAATGTTTGATTTGTTGTAAAGATATATGTAATTTTGAACCCAAAGTATGATATCATACTCTCACCAGATATAATGTTCCCTCCCAATTTCTCTTTCCCTCAATATCTTCATCTCTAAATCTTTCTTTCTCTGACTCTGTTTTTCTATTTCCTCCATCTCACTATCTTTTTTTTTCTTTCTCTCTCTCTCTCTCTACCCCCTTCTCTCTCTCTCTCTCTCTCTCTCTCTCTCTTTCTCTGTAACTCTCATCCCTCCAGGCGACCCGTCTCCCCACAGTAAGCGCCATCTTGGTACCCCCTGGTACGGACTGGAAGAAGGTTGTCGTGTATGTGATGCAGAAGTAAGTCATTGAACAGCTCCCAAGTCTTTCATGAATACAGCTTATAGCCTTGTATTCACATGGCACCCAACACTGTGTCAGAAAACTGCCATGATAAAATAAGATGATGCCAGCATAGATAGTGCACATATGACTGTGTGTCATTAAACATAGATAAAGTGGTTATATTTAGTTGCTACTTCATGTAATTCTACTACCACTACGACTGCTGGTGGCACTACTTCTACTACTACCACTGATGCTGCTACTACTATAACTGCTCCTACTACTACTACTACTACTACTACTACCAATACCACAACAACGATTACTACTACTGCTGCTGCTACTACTACTAGAACAACTACTGTTACTAACCCTACTTCTTCTACTACTACTACTACTCCTACTACCACTACTACTACAATACTAGTACTACTACTACCACTACCACTACTACCACTACTACTACCACTACCACTAATACAACTACAACTACAACTACCACTACTACTATTTTTACCACTAGCACCACTTAAAATTACCACAACAACTGTTGCTTTCACTTCTTCTCCCACTACTACTGACTATTGTCATAGCTAAACATTCAAGTGTTTTTATTTCACCCCATTGTAGGTACAGGATAGAGATATCTGGTGGTCTTGGGCCGAGTGCAGGAAAGGTACGTTCATGGTGTTTGAAATCTGTTTGAACTGATGACAAAAATTCATCTAAATATTGATGGAGCAGCACATTGGAACCTGGTTTGACAATCAAAGTTTCAGTATCAAGTTAAGATATATTCATACCCACCGCACTAGTTTGGCCAGGAGGGATTAGACCTTCCAGCATGGTCACTGACAGGTGGTTATCTCATCAAGTCAGCTCTCATTTAACATAACTATAAGAAAGGGGGGATTGGGGGACCAATGGTCACTGATTAGGCATTGGGCGCAAGTAGCTATAGGTAGTGCAGTGGGGCTTTAAACAAATTCTTGAAAGGTAGTGTGCTAAATATAACACTAGGGTAACATGCTTTTGTGCACCTTTTAAACTCACTTGTCATGATAGCTGCAGATAAGATGGAGTCTACACTTAGACACCACTTACAATTTTCAGTTATTATCTTAGGATGTCTTCTATCTCAAGATACATTGCATACATGAATTGGGGGGGGGGGGGGGGGGGGAGGGTGCTGGCCCCTACTACGAAGGGCAACATCCAGTGTATATTCATTAGTTACTTCCTAACAAAAATGACAAAGGCATAAAAGGAATGAGTATCTCATTTGTTTTGTTGCTCACTACAAATATATATATTTTGTATTAATTTCTCTTTCTCTCTCTTTCACTCTGTCTCTCTGTTTCTCACTCTCCCTGTCTCTGGCTCTCTATCTGTCGCCCTCCCTCTACCCATTTCTCTGTTCCTCTTTTTCTTTCACCTCCTTCTATAATTATCTTTGCTATTGTCTCAGGTATGGCGCATAGGGCTGATGGGGTACAACGCAAACCAGGACAATGTGAAGAGAGTCCTAAGAGTGCTGGAGGATGGACTCAACCATTCCAGGACCACATCTCGTCTCTAGGCTAGCTTCCCTAAACCCACCTGGATAGAGGATGTTAGTGGATTCCACCCACCAAAGACATGTACCTTCATCCCCCACCCACCCCCATCCCATTGAATCCACAGGGGTGTTTAACACAGATCCTGAGTTGAACTTATCTCTAAGTTTGACTTAACAATTATGGAAAGCCGTTAACATCTATGAAAATACTTTGTAAAAGTTATTTTAAAAGGCATAAAATGTTGATTCAAATCATATTATCAAGGAAAATTTCATGTTCTTGATGTGGAATTTATAAAAAGTCTAGAATACTTTATTTTTTGCTTTTGAATATATTTTATTTTAAGGCTACAAATGGCTCTCCATAATTTTTAAGTCCAACTTGGAGTTAAGTTCGACTTAGGATCTTTGTGAAACACCCCCTGAACATATAATGTGAAGTTTTATACCATCCGCAAACTATGTTTAGATAGCAATGAAGTAATTATATTGAATCATGAGGTAAAACATTAAATTGTATTTTTTTACAGAGCTAGATTGCATTTGATTGCAACTTTTAATGTCCCATAATGAATTATGATCCTGTGCCCAACCGGACCAGAGGTATTCCTATATTTGTAGGACAAAAATACAAATCAACTGATTTATGTAGTTTTATTCAAAAGAAACATTTGTCAGATGAGAGTTTATAAATATATTTGATAATTATTGTATTATGGTGAATTTTGTATAAATCACTTTTTCATTATTATACACAAGCACAAATATTTAGTGTGTTCTTCAGTAGAAATTCATTTTCATCAATTGTTTTGGGTGATTTTTTTTCACCGAAATGGTACTATTATGATACTAATTATAATATAGATATACATGTATAAGCTTTCAACCTCTGTTGTTCTTATTTTGGTAATCTTCAAAGGGCTATGTAGCCTATCTAAAGATTACAAGTTGTGTGAGGAAGACAAATTATATGTTAGTGGTATAAGGATATTAATTGCTTCAGGAGTAGTCCCTGGAAGTTCTCTGGCTTGTCAGCCTGCACTTTTTATCTAAACAAATTGTATTCCTGACTGACTCTGTTCTCTTTCTCTGTAGCCAATTTTAGTTTATAGCTTTATAGATAGCTAGAATTATTCAGTGATTTTTATTTGGTGCTTTTTAAAAACAGAATACAGGTGGTCATTTCATCTTGTACTTTGCAGTATAAAAAAAAAACATAGTACAATGTACATGTACATGTATCAGCATTCAATATTTCTACATAGTATTATTACGAGAAAGCAGAAAGGGCATGTTTATTTTATTCAAAATTTTAATGTACACAGAAGATCTATTTTTATTGCATTTGATGCATGTTGATTGTTCTCTTTGTATTCTTTTTTTTTTTATCAGAATCAAATCCGTGATTTAAACTCGTAGATATAAAGGTTACCTCACTTACTATTTCCAACTGTTTTTATTCAGTCAGACATTATGTTGCTGTTATATGGTGAATAAAAACAATGATAAATCAAAAGTAAATGCAATGATGATTTTTTTTTGTTTTTTGTTGTTGCATATTTGCAAAGCTATGTGTGTGTGGAATATGTCATTATGGCTATAAAGAAAGAAATTCAATATATGTATTCACTTGAAAATTGTAGACAATTAATTGCAACATAGACATGTAAAAATGCCACTTGTATTTTAATCCTGACCACAATCTTCCAAAATAAGAGTTACATAGGGAAGAAGAGAGAGGTTGGGTTCAAGAGAGAGAGAGCATGAGATAGAGAGAGGGGGAGAGGGAGAGACAGACAGACACACACACACACACACACAGGAGAAGAGATGAGAAATAGGGGGGGGGGAGAGGTTGGAGCTGGCAAAAGTCTTATGATATACCAAAATAAATGAAAATTGACGAGACTTTAGTTGTTAGTTCTCTTCTTTCTCCCCTCTTCCCCTCTGATCTACTGTAGTACAACACCCCTCTCTCTCTCTCTCCCTCACTCCCATCTCTCTATTGTTGCTATCCATTCACTCTCGCTCTTTTCTCCTAGTCACTATTTGTCAAGCACGTATACAATCTAAAAAGCAAATAGCAAACATAAAAGGCTAGTTTGTCATGACGTCATAAACGGTCCATTATCCCAGCTAGCTCGGTTCAGTGCGTCTAGCCTGCGATGGGACGCGTTACATTGGAGAGTTTTTATGACGGTCTACTGATCATAGAAACGACAGGGCGTAATAAATAGATGTACTGTCATCTCACAGTCAGGGAGGGGTGGGGCACAGGGGTACTTGCCCCTTTCGAACATGTAACGAACATTCTCCTGGGCAAAAAATTGAGGACTTTTTTTGTTGCTTGTCAGATAGTCACATGTGCTAGTGATTATCCTCTGTCTGCCATTGGCCAGGTTGGCAGGAGAAGGAAATCGGTGAGGGGGTGTGAGAGGGTTTATTCCTCCCCCCTCCCCCCAATGTAATTACCGAAATTTAATGTCCTTATTTTCATGAGCAGATTGGAATAGTTTTCTTTTTTGTTCAGATGCCTAGAATTAATCAATTGGCTGTTAGTGTTAACTGCGCCATCCTCAAATGATAATACGTGAAGAAATAAATTAATAAATAACTTAAATAAATTAAGAACGCAAACGAATTAAAATGCGATAAATCGGAGACAAGCACGACTGCATTTCCGCTCTATTAATCGATATTGCAAAATCTAGTCCACCGTCCTCACCCCCCCCCCCCCATTAGTCGAGATGACTTCCCCATATAGTGTTCCCCACCTATTTGCATCAACACGGACACCTGTAGATACACCCCTCTCAAGCTCCCATCGATACCAGTCTGACCACGCCCCAGGCAGTAGTGAGAGAGAGAGGGTAATCAATGTTTCCCCTTTCTCCTCAGCATTGTTTCGGTAACAGGCGACAAACATTGCAGCTTTCTATTAGTATTCAGGGTTCCCGCACGCACGCACACACGGTACCACCCAAAATATAGTGGTTTTACATCGGATATAACTGATATACGTGACGATAATGATTCAACTACCACCCACATTTATGATTGTCAGTGGCGTCTGAAGAATTGTATCGTCCTGTATAATTATCACTGATTTGGCGCCCGCCGCAGAAATTACGATTTTATACAAGCTCAACAAAGAGATTGGTGAGTGACTACTTGTCTGTTTTTTGCATGAAGTATCGCTACTTTTTCGGTATTTTATTTTCTTTCCATTAAACAGAGGCGAATAAATCTCTTATGTACGATCTTCCTTCTTTAATTGAAAGAGTTTTGACATGATAAATGGACACTGTCCGACACTTTGAATTACATACGCGGTATTCTTTGTCTATTTTTTAAAAACATTTTTGGTAAGGTTTTGTTTTTCATTCACCAAAATGTCACGAGTGAAAGTATTTGCATCAAAATATTAGTACTAATCTCTTTTGGGGAATATAACATTTTTTGGAACAAATTTTTTAATTGTTGATCATGCAACTTACAAATTTGAATATATTCTACCCGGTAACCTGAATTGAGACTTTGACGAACTTTATTTCCAAACTTCACGCAATGCTCCTTCGGAAAATGAGGCCAAAAATGAGATAAAATACCCTCTATTACTTTTAATGTATATATGAAAGTAAACTAGATCAAGATATCCCGTTTCCATCTCTAAGAATCAACTCCACCCGCAAATACTTACTTAACAAAGGTTACGAAGGTGTCAGTTTTACTGTAAGATAATCACTTTCAATGTACAAGTTACGTCATTATTATGCTGGTTATTTGAAGTAATATACACTGTTGCCAATAAAGTTGGAATAATTTGTTCGTACTCTCTTCTTGAAATGATTGTAATAAAATAGTTTATTCGTGATAGCTAAAGTTCTGATATATATAAACTTCATCTATCAAGAAAAATCATGTTGTTACAATCATTATCATATCATACAAAACGAGGTAAGAAATTATTAGGCCTATTCCAACTTCATGGGCAACAGTGTAGTTCTTTGCAAAAGTCGGGTCGGGTCGATATCTCAATGACCTTACAGGTTAGAAGTTATGTAACATTTTTTTCTTCTTTTTTTGTTGAGCGTCATTGGCTGAAGAGTACTAAGATGTAGTCAAAGGGTTTCTGGTAAAGTGTTAATGTAATCTAAGCCAGGCTTTAAGATGTGATAATGAAATGCATAATTCATTAAAAGTTTGATAACACATTTGTTTTAGAAAGAAAAAACAAACACCAGTAGGCTATATGACTTTTATCAAAATTTGAAAATTAGAAGATTGGTAAAATAAATATTTGGATAAAATTATTTATAAAATCATCAAAGAATCATCAAAATAATCATAAAAGAATGAAAGTAAATATATGATTGTTGAAATATCCATTCTGACTTTGAAATGTATGAAAGCAGGAAGAGAAACCAAAATAATTTACTGCGTTATAAAAAATAAGACTTTTATCGACAATTTACTTCCGAATATATTTTTCTTTTTACTTGAGATGTGTTTTGGACTATATAATTATTATAGAAAATCCGTGGCAAAGCTATATAGGGAACGGGGAGATGGATAACGATTTGAAGAAAGACAAAGCGAGAAAAGAGAGAAAGGGAATATACGACTGGACCACGTCACGCACCCTACCCTAATCAGTAGCTTCATAAATTCGCATTTCATTTTTCGAGTAAGACTGGTGCCGCCTCCCAATCGTTCCAGTTCCCCTCCCCCGCCCCCACCCCACCCCAGTTGGTGGACTCATGACACGCTACTTCAGAAGGTTAATAATACAATGTTTGTGCAGGTATATCCACTTTATATGTGGTAATGGTAGGTTCCCACTGCCGATCAAACCAACCCGACCAAGCCCGATCAAGCTATTTTGGCCTGGTCGGGCTCGTTCGGCAAGGGCAATCAGGGTCGGTCTACCTTGATCGGGGTCGGTCTACCTTGATCGGTATCGATCTGGCTTCCTACACGACAATCTTTGGCATGTCAAAAAATATCGTGTAGGGGTCGAGAAGGCAAGCGATCGTACAGCGATCGTGTATTGGTCGAGTAGAGGTCGAGCTGATCGGGAGTCGATCGTATAGAGGTCTAGTTTGATCGGGGTGGATTTTTTCCGCCGATCACTACCCGATCATCTCGATGTATACACAACTTCTACACGATTGGTTCCCGATCAACTCGATTAACAACTCAACCGCTTCGCAATCGGAGCATGTCTGCCCTAAACAGTTACTCGACCGAACTCGCTCACTTCTCGACTGATTCTCGATTACATCCCGAGCACTTCTCGACCGCTCTCGATGTTTCTGATCGCAACTCAACCAAGGACACAATACGTACCGGTATATTGATACTAGTTAAGTTAATCGCTTATAGAATTGGTAGTAACATGTGACAGCGACACGCAGGCGCGGATCCAGGATTTCTTAGGGGGGGGGGCAAATTTGAAATTATGCGAGCCAAATATTAGTACGTAATAACATCGGCAGTGGCAAAAACATTTTTTTTTTTTTTTTTTTTTTTTTTGGGGGGGGGGGGGTAGACAAAAAAAAATCCCAATCACCCTACTCTTACATGCAGTCCCCGCTGAACGTTTCTCGGCGGGGGTCAAGCCCCCAGAACCTCAGGGGGAATAGGCATTTAATTATCGTCAGATGATCATATTTTCATACATTATTTGTGACGCTGGCATGTCACGAATTAGGGTGGAGTCCAGGGGGAGGAGCCCCCTGAAGCTCAGGGGTTTGTTGCCATAAATTACGGTCAGATGAGCTTATTTTATACCTTATTTGTGACACTGGCAGGACATAAATTGGTGTTGGGTCCAGAGGGCGGAGCCCCCAGAAGCTCAGGGGTTTTATACCTTAAATTATCGTCAGATGAGCTTATTTTTATACCTTATTTGTGAAACTGGCAGGCCACTAATTGGCGTCACGGATTTTAAGCATTAAATTACCGTCAGGTGAGCATCCAGGTGCCTGACTTCGGCCCTAGGTGAAATCCAGGGGGCAGAGTCCCCGAAAGCTTATGAGTTTTAAGGCATTTAATCACGGTCATATGAGGCTTTTTTTGGGGGGGGGGGCCGGAAATTGGAAAATTACGTTGTCAGATATTTCATTCAGTGGCTTGGGGGGAGGGGGGAAGTAACACTTTTTTGTTGTTGCTTTCTTTAGCACACATTCTTTGTTTTTGTTGCCAGGGGGCCGGGCCCCCGGGCCCATACCCCTTCCCTGGATCCGCCACTGCCCACAAATGTAACTGTTCGATTTACATCTCTTGAGTGTCTAAGATGAACTGAACGCTGATCAAAAATGAGTACTGTACTATCAGCTGACGATAATATTTTGTGCAACCACTCAATTCACGAGTCAGCTTGGATCCCTGTTCGAACAGGTCGATCTGCTCGGGCCGAGATTGTGTAGAGATCGTGTGTACGTCTAGTTGGTCTAGTAAGGATCGCGTTGGGATTGTATGTAGATCGGAATGATCGAGAAGAGATCGAAGTTGTGGTCGTCTATACGTCGTGCGGGAGTCGTGATAGCGGTCGGGAAGAGCTTGTGTTTAGGCATGGGGTCGGGATTGGTCGGGGAAATATGGGTGATCGGGCTTGATTGGGCTCGGTCGGGTTGGTTTGATCGGCAGTGGGAACCTACCATAATGCCTGTCTGAACTACAAACTTACAGGTGTGAACGACCACTCTGATCCCCTTTATATTTCTGTTCGCATTATTATGTCAAAGAGCAAGCGGTCTACAATCAATAATGGCCGTCGATAATTCTTCGTGAGCAATATAATACCAGACAATAAAATGTTTTTTAAAAGATATAACATTTTGATTCAAACCATTTATATTTTCTATTATCAAGGAGATTTCATGTTCTTCATGTGGAATTTATGAAAAGTCTACTTCAATTTTTGCTTTTGAATATATTTCATTTTAAGGTTACACATTAATGGCTCTCCATAATGTTTAAGTCCAACTTAGAGTTTTTTTTAAAGTTCGACTTACAATCTTGTGAAAGACCCCTAGACACTTATAATATAGGTAGGCTACTCTGTTTATGAACAAGGTAACACTCGATCCCCTTTATACTTCTTGTCGAATCATGACGTCAAAGAGAAAGTGGTCTACAATCAACAATGGCCGTCGATAATTCGTCGTGAGCAATATAATACCAGACATTCTCTCAATTCATTATGGTCTTGTTTGTTTTGACAATGTATAGGGTTTGTTTCTTGGAGTCTAAACTTACTCTGTATATTGACGTCATAAACAAACAAATAAAGTATTCACCATGAGGACATTTATAGCAGCTTGATGTTCATGCAGCACATAATTAATGCAAGGTTTATTTCTTTTCGTTAATGAATTCATACATAATGGGGGTGATTTGATTCTTCAGAATAAATGTCCGTATAAAAACAAACAAGCATAATATTATTACCCCATCCTAGCACTCAAGCCAAATTAATGCATATATTTTGAAATCAAATAAAATGAAAGTCAATGTTGAAGATTGGACGCAATTATGATATTACAAAACAGGACACTATAATTATCATCATGGTCAATTTGAGTAAAAGCTACTCTTTAAAAAGCAATCTGATCAATTTTTACCCGTTCGAGTTTGAGTGTATCGGACTTTCAGCGTAATGATTAATCAGTTCTCAATGCCCGATTAATTGCTTGGCAGCGATGTAGGGGAGACAGTTTTATAATTTTAAATACTAGCGTTCTCCCGTTTTCCCTCCTCACTTTATGTTCACTCCAACCTATGTACTCTGTTTTGGTTGAAATGTAAGCTTTTGATGATTATGATGTGGTATAAATGTCATTGTAAATTCGGTAGGGTCCATTAGTGGCACGCGTAGAATACATTTAAGCAGGATAAACATAGCCTATCCAGGCATCCATGCAAGCGAATGCACCGCATGATAGAAAGTTAGATTTTCCCAGACCCCCCCCCCCCAATTACCCTATAACTAGGGGGGGGGGGGTCAATTCTTGTTGCCCCTAGGTTACACCAATACTCAGTAGACCAAACTGAATACATGGACAAACATGAAAAGATAGATCCGTGGAATAATGGAATTTTATAGGAGAATGATGCCTCGGAAAAGGGAGGAAAGGTTGCTTTGTCATGCCCAGAAGAGAGGGCTTACATGAGTCAGGCCCATTACGATATTGGCAAGTCGCTTATCGCCATCATGAAATATAGATTTCAATATCAAACTCAAATAAAAAATCTAACGTCATGTTTAATTCATAATGGTCAATCCTCAAAAGTAAGGCCAAATTAGCACTTTCCATGCTGTTAGCAACCATGGCAGATACAAAGTAATGGATCGCCTGGTATCGCATTGCACGTCAAATCCGACAATCCACCTACCTAATTATCCAAATGGCCCTCGAATGAAATGCGCTTTAAAATGTATTTGAACCAAAATTATATTTTTCTGAACATGCTGGCTCTAAATAATTACATGCATTATTTAGAGCCAGCATGTTCAGAAAATTTTATGGAGATACATGTATGCCTACCCCTGGCCTAGCAAGCAAGTGAATAAATATATGCATAAACACACCAGCAAAGGGATGCCTTAGATCATGAGGAAATGCAAGGGGGAATATCGTATTGCTGTCGTGAAAGAGAGATCATAGTCATCATATTACATGATAACAAGCTGGGCTTTTGACATGATATCGTAGACCAAAAAAAAATAAAACAAATCAAAACAAATCAGTCTTTGGGTCAGCCCATGACAAGTGACAAGGCCCCAATTTCACATTATTGGCCTGTACCAGTAACACAAAACCAACAAAGTTGTTGAATTTTAGAACACAACATAGCTTATATCCATGATATGTATTATGTTAAAAAGACCAGTTCGGGGTTACGTTCACCTTTGTATTCTAGTCCAACCCAGCGCCGGGCACCCACTAATTAAACCCACTTTACTCTCACTCTTTATTTGCTGACGAGAATTTGGCGGAAGAATAAAATAGCATTGACACCGTTACCATGGTTGCCCGAATCAACGGGATGCTTCGATGGAAAGCTGTACCGAACAAACATCATTTGCAGCCAGCCGAGTTGAACATGAGAAGTTCACAAATTGGGCAGCGGAGCAATTATCACAGATACTTGATTATGGTATAGGTGGAGTGTTAATGAAGCATCTAATGAACCTCCTCCAATCATTGCATGTCATTACCAGATTTTAGTTCTCTTCGTATGTAATTTAAGGCTCAATTGTTGTAAAATTATTGATCTTAACATTTTAGCAATTGATCGAAAATTGTAAAACGTAGGATTAGGAATTATCATACATAAAGATGTCTAGGAGAGACGTCTTACATTATAAAGGGATAATGAATTTTAATTTTAAAAATATTTTTCCGTTTGCGAGGAGGGCCCTATACAACCAATGTGTTTCTGGTTGACTTTGAATAAAGAGAAGGAGAGATCAAGATTAAGAGAGAGAGGGAGAGAGAAAGAGGGAGAGAGAGAGAGAGAGAGAGAGAGGGGAGAGAGAAAGAGAGAGATAGAGAGATGGAGGGATAAAGGAGACAGATAATGGAAGGAGATCTGATGGCTTTTCTTGTACCTTGACTATATACAAAGAATTTGCAAATTGCTTATTATACAAGCATGGACTAAAAATCCTTTTGTTCCTTCATGTCCCAAGTACTCAATGACTATGGCAGCTTTGATTAGATAAGTGCTTAGATTAATATACATTGTTCGGACGATGTAATTTACATGGTGCTGTTAATATGACACTAATTCTGTTCGCGGAAAAATGCTTTCGTCATAAGATAAAATGGGAGATGATTACGCAGATTTCATTCTCATTACACTACGTTTTATCTTCTTTACGTAAGCTGTGTGCAGGGAGTACAACACACATGTTATTGGCCTAAAATGAGCCCCTTCCCCCCCCCCCCTCTCTCCCTCTCTCTCTCTCTCTCTCTTTCTCTCTCTCTCTCTCTCTCTCTCTCTCTTCCTCTCTCTCTCTCTCTCTCTCTTTTCTCTCTCTCTCTTCCTCTCACTTTCTCTCTGCCTCCGTCTTTCACTGTACCCCACTCCCCTCCCTATTTCTATTTCTGTCTGCACCTCTCTCTCTCTCTCTCTCTCTCTCTCTCTCTCTCTCTCTCTCTCTTTCTCTGTCGAGAAACATTATGCTAAGTATTATCTAACGCTTGAATACAGTATGCGAGATATAAGAAGCAATACATTTCAGTACAAAAATAGACGTCAGAATGATTTACATGATTGTATTTATTATTTATTCCAGATTTATTGCTCTTTACTCGTCTCATTGAAAGTAGAGATTCTTCTTAACACCGCCAAGCTCTACAGCAGTTCAAGATGTCGGTTCAGCCGAATTCAATGCCGGTAAGTGATATAATTATTTCTTATTTAAATTTCTTTAATATCTTTACTGATATAAGCATTTATGCATCACCAATTCGGACTTGGAATGGAAATGTCTTTCTTTTTTCCGATCTCGCAGTATGATGCAATCGGACGCTGTTTTCGAAAGTTTTAGTTTGATGTTTGATATAGATAGGAACTGAAATACTTTTCTTCATTCTACTCAGTGACATGTTTTCATGAATGTTAATAATCTATGTTTATAATAAGTTGCTTTTGTAGAAAATATATTTCTCGTATGCAGAAAAAGAATAAGAAGAAAGAAAAACGACTACCAGCGCCTTTTTTTCAAATGTTACCAGTCTAGAACAGAGTACACTACCTACACATTGATATCATTACATTTACACGTGACATCTAACATTTGATACAAATATCTAAACTATTTTAGCGTAGTAATTTTTTGGAACGAAGTACACTCTCTTCAATGCGACATTGATACTATGGTATTTTTCCACATAAAACAATATTTTTAAAGTACTTTATAAAACCCAACTTTATATTTTCTTAATTTCTGCAGATGACGATGCAGCCTGGCAGTCATCTGCAAGCACCCCAGGTCCAGTGGATGCCTGCTCCGGATAGGGTGGGGCCAGAATGCCCTCCTGGTCTCGAATACCTCACTAACGTAGACCAGATACTCGTTCACCAACAGGTGGAATTCTTCGAAGGTTTGTAATCTTAGCACTTTGTAGTTAATAATGATAATTATATTGGATATAATTTTATATAGTGCACATAATATTCACCATGCATGGTGCTCAACTATTACCCGGATCTGCTAGGCAGCCGATTTCGGCGCTCACAGCATTTAATGAATTCTTTCCTACCGGTATCCTACCTGGGTGGAGAGTGGCAAATTTAGATTAATATCTTGCTAAAGGACATTATTGCCGTGTCGGGTGACGAACCGCGAACCCTGTGATCCACAGTCTAACGACTTATCCACTAGACCACAACACCTCTATAGTTGAGGGATAGTGCGCATGCGTTTCTCGAACAAAGACATCTTTTGGTCAGGTTGCTCTCATGATCAGGGTAAACATTTACTACACCAGGGTGGAGAGTGGCAAATGTAGATCAATATCTAGCACATACATCTGTGTATCCATCCCATGGGATGATCTAGGCACCCACTTATCACTAGTATTACCCCAGCCTTAGCTAGAATACCTTGATGTGCTGAAAACTTAAGGAATGTACTTCCCACCAAGCATGCAAGTGCCAATCTCCTATGTTGAGAATAGCAATACATTGTAGGTTAGAACCATGGACCTACTTGTTAGATCCTTGCCAAACGACATTGGTGCCGTGACTGAGACTCGAACCACAAAACATTTTGAGCCACACTCTTGGTATAATTGAAAGGCAAGACTCTTGCATGGGGGTATATCGTACATCTTACATGTTTATAACTTTTCTTTTATTTCAGTTTTTACAAGTTGGGAGACGTGTAACCGGTATCAGGTTAAAAATAGTCTTGGTCAACAAATCTACTTCGCAATGGAAGGTAAGAGTTCCCTTATACAACAAACTTTATTCTTGTTATAATCAAATATTTATTGCTGAACTCTGAGAAAAGACAAATAGACAATTAACTGGTTAATGAGAGAATATCGTTCTATACCCGTGTATTTTTTATTCCAAATTGTACCTTATCAAATTGATTATCTGTGCATGTGCTTTCCGTTTCTCTTTACCTCTTCAGAGGGACTTTATTGTTCCATTTCAAAATACATATATATTATTTACAAAACAAGTAAAATTAAACATATGAATTATATACAAGATCAACATAGTGTAGTGTGCAGTTAAAATAATGATTTATAATTATAGCTGATGGTTCCTCAGGCAATTGTACAGTGTAGTCTGATATTGCACTGAACTACTCTGTCATTAATTGTTGGTTCCTTGATACATAAAATGCATTAGCATAATTATAGTTTAACTACCCCGTTCAAATATAAATCTGGCCATGCACTGATTACTTAGCAGAACATCAACGCGAAGGGCTTAGATCGGTAACTATGGTTACTGTTTGATATTTGTGTTCATCTGATCGTAAGTGCTTTACCGTCGATCTATCCAGTACTTAAAATTAAAAAGAAATTTTGTTGACGCAACGCCTAATTAACTCCAATCCATCACAGATATGGACACGTGATAGTTGTCGAGTGCCTCGTTTGAAAGGGAAGCATTTGAATTATGTCTAGGCATGTTAAAAAGAAATGCAGGAGTGAAATGACGAATCACTTTTTTGATGTTTGAAGGGAGGTTCTCATTGCTTGTTTCCAGAGATTATGGGGTATAATCATGATGAGAATTAATGTGTATCACTGACAAGTGATGAAATAGTAGCTCCAACGCTTATCCACATTATCAAAAGAAATGTCTGTTTATAAAAAAAAAAAATGACCGCAGAACTGTGCACAACGCATGCAGAAAGTGCATGCAAATGAAACCTGTGTCACAGAAGGGGTACCAGTTACGGGGGAGGGCGGGGCGGAGGGGGGGGGGGTGGATGACTGTCTTACATCCAGCATTCTTGAGCCCCCTCTCCCGGGGAAATAACCCTATAGATCTACCCCATTATTTGAAGTAACCAACCTAATCTATCAATGACCTATAGACAATTTTATGTTTCTTTAAACATATTTTTCCTCGCTTTCTCTCAAATACATTCACATCAGCATGTAGTTCCGTATTTAATGAAAAATAGAAATGTCACATAGAAGTAAAAACGTCACACCACGGACATTCTTCTTGTTAATTTCATCATTATTAATTTCAATCATTTCACTTCACTCTCAGAATCGGAGACGTGTCAGAGACAGTGCTGCGGGAATACGAGAGGTTTTGTGATGCATGTTCTTGATAATGCTAATCAGGTAAGTAATAACTCACAAGTAATAAATCAGTGTGCAGATATTGGTTAGGGTATGATTGGGTAGGCGGGCGCACCACCTTTAATCTGTGGATTCATCGCAAATTAACAAAGCTATTACTTCGATACGGATGAAAAAGCGGATTTATTGTCGTCCCTTTACGATCCCCCCCCCCCCCTCTACCACTTTTCTCTCTATTTTCTTTTTTCGCCATTTGATGGGGGCACCTGCCCCAAAACCTCTCCCCGCCCCGTTCCTACACCGATACCCTATGCTGTAATTAATATATATATTATTAAAGTTGATTTTATGAGCTCGACATGCTTGAAGGTGTACCGTACGGTGGACAGGTGTGAGCGTTTGAGAAAAATCGCAGAACTAATGAGGTAGGGAATCCCCTTCACTAATGTGTCAAGCTCTGTAATTACTAGGATCTCTGTCCAGTAGTGCCGTGTTTGTGCTATCAACCTGGATCGACCAAATCAATAGATTCATAATATATTTTTCCCCGTAACATGAGAGTAATATTAATCGCTTCATTCTTTTAATTAAATGTAATGTTAATTGTTATTGTATAATTGTGTTAAGTGGGGGCACGCTTCAAGAGTCCTATCTCGCACCCCGGGGCAACGTGTCTGACACGGCTGGTTGTAGCAACTACTCCAAAAATCAAGATACATAAATCTTGATCTAAGGAGACACGAACGAACGAATGTGTCTATGATGAATGATGTACGATATTAGACGAAGTAGATATAGATCTACGATTGATTGTTGTTTATTGAATATTATTAATCGAATTCTATGGAGCATAAATCAGGAATGAAGGGTTATGGTTTAGGGTTGTATCCTTCTAATTTCATGAAGATAGTGATTTTCATCAATACTTTCTCAAGGCCTCCCTTTTATATCGGCATGATAATTTCGAGAACAAAAAAGGGTAGATATTGACACGACAAGCGTCTGCTACCGATTATGATGGTCATCCCGATAACAAGGAAGTCTTGAATCATACGAATCGATATCAGATCGATATGAAGACAAAATGTTGATTGCTATGTGACGTCAGAAAGGGCCAGACATGCAACTCATTTCGGTGTTTGTTCAATGGTAATGTTGATAGAGAATGGTAGACAGGTAATTATAGTTCGATCTAATGCATCCGTGATCAATCATGTTAGCTTCATTGACATTAAACAATGCAAACGGTTGATTTGTAATTATAATAAGATGATTGGTTGGCAAGCAGTGTCGCCCAAGCAGTGTCGCCCGGACACTGCTTGCCAACCAATCATCCTATATTCCCGAGAAACGCAATTATGAAAGGTGAAAGGGTTGTTTTTCATGTGTTTTTTTGTTTCTGAATAGGGGTGGCTATTTCTACCCCTTTGATCTGCCTACGCGTTTGTACATGTATATGGAACGCCTGTTTCATAATTGCGTTTCTCGGGAATATAGAGGTCTGGACCTCCTTAAGTTGGGGGGAAAGGGAAAGAGGGAGGGGGCCCTCCCCATTGAACGACAGTTTTGCGAATAGCTACTTGCGCTACAAAAACAACGGCGACAGATAATCAAATGTGACGGGGGAATACGTGTTTTAATTTAATGCGGAACCTACCGAGGAGTTCCCACTGTCCATCCTCTATTCCGGGCCGCCGCCGATAGAACTGAATCTCAAAATATGGGGCCAGTGATGACTAATAATAATGATTTTCAACATCATAAATTTTGTTTGGGGATGCGCTATGTTCATAATAACATGCACCATTATACGAGTGGAACCTTTGGTGATTCATTCACTCAACTCTCAATCTGAGGGTTGAGGGTTCGAATCCCAGCCCTACAGTAACATCCTTTGGCAAGACATTCATCCACTTTTGCCACTCTCCACCCAGGTATTTAATGGGTACCCGGGTAGGATGCGAAAGTCATTGTATGTTGTGAAATGGCGCATGGTTAGAATGCTCCCCAGGGAGTGGAGAACGTGCATAGATTGTTTGCGGGCAAGCCTTAATCGGATGACCGGGGTAAATATTATGTAAAGCGCTTGGAGACATCATTGGTGCATTACGTGCTATATTAACCCATAATATTGTTATTATTATTGTGAAGAGCTCGCATTGATGTCGGGGAGACACAATAATATAATTATTCCTTAAATGCTGTGAGAGTCGAAATCGGTAGCCTAGCATAGCCGGGTAATGTTTGAGCGCCTTGAGGACCTTTGCAAGGTCGATACGTGCGCTTTATAAGAATCCAATATTATTATCATTATTATTAATTATTTATATAAATCTTTGTTTTGTTCTTTCAGGAAGTGATGAGAGTAACTCGAGAGTTTAAGTGTTGCGCAGGGTGCTGCTGGTGTGCTAATATTGATTGCTGTGGTATGGAGATCACTGTTGAAGCGCCCGTGGGTCAAGTCATGGGATATGTCAGGCAAGCGTAAGTGATCTAAGGTTCTTCTGTACTTCATGGACCTGATAATATAATACTTATAGCGCCTTTTTATAGAGCAGGTACAAAACGCTAACGAAAAATAAACGTTACACATTACAAGAGATCAGGCGCGTACGCAGGATTTTTTAAAGGGGGGGGGGGGGGGGGTTTAACATTTATAAATCGGTCCGAAAATTTCGCAACGACTCAGCCGGCCGCTGAATAAGCGGGGGGGGGGGGGGGGGTTAGATTTTTTTAAGGGGGGTTTACATACATGAAATTACCAAAGGGGGGTTAACCCCCAACCCCCCCCCCCCCCTCCTGCGTACGCGCCTGCAAGAGATGATTGTGTTTAACCGAGTAGATATATAAACAAAAACGCATTGGTATCAAAAGGAAACTACAGTAATTACAAAAGGCTTCACTCCCAAATTGTTTTCCTTCAAAATACCAACATTTTTAATGTTCGGTACCACGGTACCTGAATAACTTTTTATTGGGACAGCGAGTTTCCCAAATTTGCTTTTATTTTAGCAGTGAGTGGTTGGAACATACTTATAGTCGGACACCGGCAGAAGAACCGAAATATATATTTTTAAATCTTACCCTGTGTATTTGACGGTGAAATAACAATTGACCATTGAACTAGGTTTTTTTTCTTCAAACCAATCGACTACGACACATCAACTGGTCTTAAAAAGAATTTTATACCATATTCTACTTTACAGGCAGAGTGGTTGGTATCCCAACTACAATATATTGGATGCATCACGGAGTTGTGTACTCAAGGTTCGAGGCCCATGCTGTATCTGTCAGGGAGCGTGTTGTACCTGTGATCAAGAATTTAAGGTAATCCTCTAAACAATTGTAAAGGGTAACAAATTCCGATCCGATTTACTCATAAACTATCCCACGTATTATTGTATATCAAGATGTCATCTTATCTGGCCTGGCCCGGGAGGATGTGGTTAGAAACAAATCTTTTGAAACAGAGAGTAAACCTTCATAATGATTGTATTATCTTTTGACGTGTAATTTCTATGCTTTACTCGATAGACTGCCAATGGAAGATACGTAGCAACGATTAAACAGAAACTTCACAAAGAAACATGTTTGTTTCAATCATATTTGATTCTTAGAGATATCGTTCCCCTTGAAAATTCATTGTTTAATTATTATAAACTTAGACCTTTTCGACATGCTTCTAGCATTTTATAGCGAATATTGGGAAAGAAATACAATATAACGGACTCTACAAAAACAAATCATCAATATCTCATAAAGAACTGAGGGCGCCAGTTCAAACAGTAATTCAAATGTCGGACTACATATTCCTGACTAAATTATTGCTTTCTAATCGTGATTTATTTTCTCTCTTTTTTCAGGTAACAGATGAGTTATATATTCTCTTATAATGTCAGATATCTTTGATTAAATTTCTATCATGTTCATTTACATTCGAGCTTGCTGCAAAACTGTGGAAGCCTACTACCTACTGCATTGCAGACGGCCTCATCTGTTAACCACTGCTAAAAATTACTTTATTATTAAATTATTAGTCCAATTAATTAACTGATCTCTGAGAAGTGATTAACTTTTTTTTTAATAAGCGGCCCAAACATTGTGGAGCGGTGGGTGCAGCGCTTTGAAACCGCAAGGAAAAGGCGCTATATCAAATCTCTTTTGGATTGGATTGGATTAGATTGGACTAATTATTCATTTTATTTTTTTCTCTCCTCTAGGTTTGGGATGCTAGTATGACGAGTGAGGTTGGTAAGATCAGTAAGCAGTGGAGCGGCTTTGTCAAGGAGCTCTACACTAAGGCTGATAACTTTGGAGTGTCATGTAAGTTTGATTGATTGGTTTTTATTCGCCAAGCTTCCATCATTCAACAATAACAGATCAAAAACTAAAGTCAACTTAAACAGGATAATCCACGAAAGCTCGAGAGCTTATTTCCAGTGGGGTCCCCGACAGACATGTACAAAATTAATAAATTAAAATAGTAATACATGTATTTACAGACAGATAAGAAAAAGAAAAAAAATCAATTTTAAGTATCCTACATTTTAGATGCTGCTTATAAGTATCGGCTTGCATGGTGATGTAGATATAAATTGCACCATGTATCCTATATTGATCAGAATACATTCATGGAGAATTGTTTAGCATCCAAAAACTCAGATTTTAGAATGATTAAAGAAAATCAATGGCGTATCTAGCCTACGATAAAACTGACGTTCAAGTCATATTTGAAGGTAAAGAAAACATAGAAAAAGAAGGGGGAAGGGGAAAGGTATCAAAGCCCCCACAATCACGCTAGGACAATCATGACAGACTACGATCTACAGGGACATGGAGAGAATTCCGCCCTCTGTTGATAAACTGTTTATAAGCCAATGTGCGCTTAAAGGTACTATGTCCCTTTTGCAGCCAACCTCAAATGCTGTAGCACTTTGCAGGAATTATGAATATGTCATGTATATCCTATCTGTGAAATTTAAACGTTAGCAGTGTCCTCATATTCAAATTATGCAAGGAAACCCGTTTAATTGCTAGACTTCACTGTCAGACACTATTGAGTGACTGACTGGCTTTTTTCTTCTTTGGTAATAACATACATGAAAAGAGTTGTAAAGGGTGCATGTGCATTTGTCTACATCAATAACCCACTTCTTGTGATGGCCAAGATTAAACTGATTGAATCTTTACGCAGCATAAAACGTATGACCATTCAGTACAATTGTCTGAAAATCAAGACTATTACTTTTGGGCTCTATAGCCCTAAAGTCGATTTGACAACTAATGGTCGTTATTTTCCCACTTGAAGACATTTTAAAGCCCCACCTTTTTTAGGGAAGTTCTAAATTAGCATATCTTTCAAATGCAGTTGGAATTTAACTTTTTCATTTTTTTTTTTAGGCCTGCAAATGGGACATAGTACCTTTAAAGGGATCCGGTCACTTTGTCTCAGAATCTGAAACAAAATTCTGGATTTAGCTCATGCTGCAATGAAAATTATAAACCTTTGGGTCAGTCAGGAACCCCATGACTTTTACAAGCCGATTGCATGTCTGATTATCAAGATGTTTATGATTGAAATTACACATTTTGAAAACCGTTTGCCAAACGGTTTTCATAACACTACAATCTATTGGGGAAAACGAGTATGGTAAAAACCGGTCACTCAAAGAATTTTACTTTTTCAGGCACTTCTTGATCATTTTGAAGCGCAATTTTTTAGGGCTTCAATATTACACCATATCACAAACACTGAAAACACGTAGGGCCGTGTATCTCACATTTAACATTGTTAAACGATCCCTTTAAGGTACATGTTCTTTCTTATCTAACCCATTCAGTTCCGATGGACCTTGACGTGAAGATGAAAGCAGTCATGCTTGGAGTAGTGTTCCTTATTGTAAGTCGATCTATTATGTATTTCATTTTGATCTATTGTCTAAGCTATTACCAATAGACCGGTTTACTAACATATTCAAATTGATGGATGTTTCTTTCCTGGGAACCTAGTGACGAGTTATTCCATTCACCTATTGTTAATGAATGAACTACAATACTCGGAATCCAGTCTGCATATATATATTGTTTGTTGCTATGACAGGCAAGTCTCGGGCAAGCTTTCTAGTTGTCAAGAACAACCTAGCTTAAAAAGTTTGCAACATTTTGAATATTGTAGTAAATCAGTATATTGCTCAGGTCGTCGAAACTCTGTGCAATGCATATATATTACTTCAGCACAAAATTATTTATTATAATACAGAAAACGAGCGGGATATAGTGTTAATAATACTTGTTGCCTAGGAGACGTGATTTGCCCGACGTAAGCCAGCGCCATCGACTGGCGCGGTCTTTGGTGAACCACTGTGAAGGTGACATTGTCAGAAGTATGGATGTAAAATGAACAATGTTAAAATTGCGTTGAATTACTGATATAATAATAATAATAATAGTGGGTTCTTGTATAGCGCACATGACTTGTCTGTCAGACTTGACACTCCTGGCGCTCCCGATTATATATGACTGTCTTGATTGTCTTCAAATGCTTGATTTGCGTAATTAATAACACGATCGAACTGGTACATTGACATAATTCGCCAGATGATCCCATGATTATAGGGTTCAACAAACTAATTGTACCTCAATTCGACGACTCTGCCATTAACGAACTAAAAGGAAAATCGAATAAAAAGATGAATAATGTAATAACCCATTTATGTATTTATTATTCTCTGTTTTTCATTTAAACAGGATTTCATGTACTTTGAAGAAAACGACAACAACACCAGCTAAATCATATAAAGAGCGTTCAGCTAAAGTTGTTGACGTCATATCAGCATCACCTAACAAACATGGGCTCTAGAACTTTTCAGCCCGGGAATAGCAAATATTGTAACCTGTTATGATATAACAATCATTCCAATATTAATGGACTAAGATGTGTCAGAACTCAACGGCAAGAAAAAACTCTTTGGGTAATCGTCTTCTTATGCTTTCAAAAGAAAGAATAATCAAATGAGCGTAGGTTTTAAATAGTTCCGAATTAGTACAGTGCAACCTGTCTATAAAGACCACCCAAGGGAGACAAGAAAGTGGTCTTTATAGGCAGAGAGTCTTTATGTACGGGTTCCTTTAGTACATGTTTCAATGAGAAACCATTTTCAAGGGGAACACAAAATGTGGTCTTTGTAGACAGGTGGCCTTTCTATACATGTGGTCACTAAAGCAGGTTTAACTGTATTAAAATTCAAACAATGTATTCAATTGTATATTTATTAATCAAAGAAATTGGTAAAGAACAGTTTATAAGTTTGATGTGTTAAGGAGATATCGTTTGCTTATGATGTTATGAGGGACTTATAGATTCGCACGAAGACAATGTGGATTGCTACGATCGACGTCCCTTTAATGCACTGCCTTGAATGGACGTCACACGTATCAGTCCACGCAAATCTAAAAGTCCCTATTATATTATATGATAATAGAAGGACCGTACTCGAGTGATTTTGAGCATGTGACGAAATGTACAAGGTCATAAGTTGGAGCACTGATGTAACACTGTTATTTTTGAATTGGAACACGCATTGACATATACGCTGTTTCTCTTTACCCGGGTTTATAAATGGTTACTCCATAAGATGTGAATGTTATTGCATCATGATTTACGATCTGCATTGTGCCCCCAGGAAATGGAAGTGGAAATTTTATTTTTTTAAAGCCCCTTTTCTCATTAAGTGATTGTTTTCTTATCAAAGACACATTGATTAATAGAACCCATGCCAGTTGACGACAATTTGATATAAAAATCTTAATTAATGATAAAAAATGTCTGCAAAATCTTGTTATTTTTCAGTTTTTCTTGTACACCACAAATGACATATATTTTTCAGAAGTGAATTAAGGAATGTATAATTGAATTCTATATTTATATTTAACTGTGATATTTATAAAAATATAAGATTAGTTGAATGAGTAGTTCTGATTTACACGAAAGTATAAGCTCGTTTATTTGAAAGTACTTTATCATGGACTGTGTGTGATAAATATCTCCTTGAAAGTTTTTATTTGACAAACAAATGTTAGGAAATATGTGATAGTGATGTTGCCATAGTTTGATTGAAATGCTAAAGTACAGCCATCCAATTATAAAGCGATCAATTCTATTATGTCTCGAGCGTACGTGTGCGTACAACCTCTCTCGGAAATACAACAGGTAGCATCTCGGGGGGGGGGGGGGGAGGATAGGGAGCAACAGGGGGCATGCGACATCCATGCAAAAATCTGCCTATACTTGATTATACACGCGTGTATCGCTCTAAATGGTAGCCATTTTCGTGCTTGTCATAGATTTTTAATACTAAGTTTAATATAACCCCCCCCCCTTAAAGAATTTGGGATCAGCCACATACCACCGGTTGATGTTGTCTCAAATTTCCCTACGGTTTCCTTGATAGCCCTTTAAACACCTTTTTATGTATGTATATATATTATGTATTATAGTTATTATTTCCTTTTTTCTTTTTGTATTTATATTATGTTTTTGACTGATAATTTGTAATTATTTTTTTCTGGTCATTTCTAATATTATGTATATTTTGTACATTGCATAAACTGGCCCCATGGAAGACCAGCAGCAACAATATAGTTGCAGTTGAAAATGGGCTACCTTCCGTATACGGTCCCTTTTCACTGTATGATTACTTTGTATGTATTTTATCTGATTTTAATATACGGAAATAAAATCAACAAACATAAATGAGTAATTAACGATACATGTGTTTTTGGTTAATATGTGAAATTTCCCTCATATTCAAATCATAATGATTACTTTAAAGTGCAATCTTAAAAGATAAAGTCCAGATGTCGGATGTCTCATTTGTTAAAACTGCATACACAGGTAAAAATAGAAATTACTTAATTTGTTTGTTTATCATGTAAATATTGAAGTCATTAATGAGATTTATTCTTGACAATCTATTCACTGGTTTTATGATTACAATACCATATTTGATTATTGTTTCATCTCCTTCCGCACAGTGTGTATGATTGCTCACGTATATGTTGCGATTTAACAACCATTGTCAGATAAATCTATACATACAAGTACGAACTGTACCAATAAATCTGATTGTTATTGTAATGATGTTAGTTACTCAGATAATGATTATATATCTTGAGAAAGTCTTCTATTACATTGAATTGGATTGATAATGGTTTTATTGAAAGAATAACAATGCACCGCAGCAGTGGCGTACCTGGGGTACTCCGTCAGGGGGGGGGGGGGGGGCAAGCGACCGAAACAAACAAAAAAGGCGACGCTAATTTTCACTTCTGGCGAGCGAGCGAGCAAAAAAAATCTTTTAAGTAACGTTTGGTATATAAACTGGTATTGTTGCAAGTTGGGGGTGGGAACATTCACTTGTTAGCGACGTTAATTTCATTTTTTTGCAAACGAGCGTAGCGAGCAAGAAAAAAATCACTTCTTTTTTAATAATTGCCACTTAAACTTGTTTCAAATGTCTCATGCAGGGCCCGGGGCCCGGGTGTTTAGAGTGATTTTATACCCATTTTAGCTAGCGAGCGAAAATACATCTTTCTCTCAATGAATTGCTATATAAAATTTGTTTCATTGTTGCAGGTCGGGGGCGGGCACAATCGTGTTTAAGACAATGTCAATCCCATTTTGGCGGGCAGGCAACCCCCTACATTTCTCTTTTTAATGATATTGTAGCAGGTTAGTGGTAGGCACATAATTCCACGAGCTTGCGAGCGTAGCGAGCGAGCGAAAAAATTAACTTCTCTTTTATAGGGAAAATATGGTACATAAAACTTGGGTTCATTGTTCCATGTCAGGGACGTGATTATTAAAAGCGGTGTTATTTCTATTTTGGCGAGCGAGCGAGTAAAAAAAAAATCACTTCTCTTTTATAGGGAAAATATGGTACATAAACTTGGGTTCATTGCTCCATGTCAGGGACGTGATTATTGAAAGCGGTGTTATTTCTATTTTGGCGAGCGAGCGAGTAAAAAAAATTCACTTCTCTTTTATAGGGAAAATATGGTACATAAACTTGGGTTCATTGTTCCATGTCAGGGACGTGATTATTAAAGGCCCCCTGCACTACTTGTAGCTACTTGCGCCCTCTTACAACAAACAATGCCTAATCGGTGACCATTGGTCCCCCATGGTCCTCTTTTTCTTATGTTAACTGAGAGCTGAGTTGATGAGATAACCACCTGTCCAGTGACCTTGCAGGGCGCTCTAATCCCTCCTGTAAACTATGGCAGATAAGCTTTAAAAGCGGTGTTATTTCTATTTTGGCGAGCGAGCGAGTAAAAAAAATCACTTCTCTTTTATAGGGAAAATATGGTACATAAACTTGGGTTCATTGTTCCATGTCAGGGACGTGATTATTAAAAGCGGTGTTATTTCTATTTTGGCGAGCGAGCGAGTAAAAAAAAAAATCCCTTCTCTTTTATAGGGAAAATATGGTACATAAACTTGGGTTCATTGTTCCATGTCAGGGACGTGATTATTAAAAGCGGTGTTTTTTCTATTTTGGCGAGCGAGCGTAGCGAGCGAGCAAAATTTTTGTAATGATAATTGGTTCATAAATTTCAGATATTTTTGTTGCAGGGCAGGGCTTACACAATCATGTCTAAGGTGATGTTAATTCCGTTTGGGGGAGCACGAGCACACCAAATCTTCTTTGAATAACGTTTGGTACATAATTATTAACTGGTTGTTGCAGGTTGGGGCGGGCACGTTAGCGGTGGCAATTCCATTTTGGCTAGCGAGCATAGCGAGCAAGCAAAAAAAAAAAAATTCTTTTAATAGAAATTAATAAATAAACTTGTTTTCATTGGTGCAGGTCAGGATGGACGCAATCGCGTTTAACGCGATTCAATTCCTTTTTGGCGAGAGGGCGAAAAAACTCTTCCATTTTTAATGATATTGTTGCAGGTCAAGGGTGGGCACAATTGTTTCCAAAGCAATGTTATTCATTTTATTCGCGAGCGAGTGTAGCGAGCGAAAAAAATGAATTAGTCTCTTTAAGTAACATTTGGTACATACATTGTGTGTTATTGTTGCCATGGTTGCAGGTCGGGTCCCGTCGGGGCAGGCACAATTGTATTCTAGGCAATGCTAATCCTTTTCTTTTTTCAAAAATAGGCTAGCAAGCAGATCGCGCCAGCGAAGAGTTTCGAATTTGTTATATCACTTATATTTTCCTATTTTCATTTGTCTTATTTTTTCAGGGCCGTATGCGGAATATTTTCTGGTGGGGGAGGGGGAAAGATGAGTTAAAAGTTTTCGAAGAATCTCAAAAGCAAAAGGAGCGAAGGGAGTTCAAGCGACCGAACTGGTCATGAGGGTACTTTTGCATTTTCAAAAGTAGAATTGAAGGATTTGGTATAGGCCTACACTACATTTTCAGGAAAAAACTGTACGTTTTCAAAATATCTGGGGTCAACTGCCTCCCCCCCCCCCCTGTTGCGTACGGCCATGGTCTTTTTTTTTCTTCATTTTCCCCATTTTTTCCTCTCCTTTTCTTTTCCCTTTTTCTTCCTTTTCTCTTCTTCCTTTTTTCTTTCCTTTTCCTTTTTTTCTTTTTTTCTTTTTCTTTCCTTTTCTTCTTCCCTTTTCCTTTTTTCTTTTTCTTTCCGTTCCTTTCTTTTCTTTTCTTTCCCCTTTTTCTTTTTATCCCGTCAGGGGGGGGGGGGGGGCACTGTGCCCCCTGCCCCCCCCCCCCCATAGGTACGCCAGTGCACCGCAGCCTAAACGGCCAAATTGGGCAACGGTTTACAAATGTAAAATACAATACATAAAATCATTCATAGCAAATGACATCAAAATTAGTGAACGGAACATTAATTAATAAATTGTATGAAATTATTTAACTTTAAAATTCTTATTTGATCTCCCTAAAAGTGAAGAAGAACATGATTATGGCGTAAAGAAAGAAAAGAAAAGAGGATGGTAAGATGATAAGATTAGGAAGAAAATGAAGAGGAAGAAGAAGAGGAAAAAGTAAAAGAGGAGGAAGAAGAAGAAGAAGAAATAGAAATAGAAATAGAAGAAGAGGAAAAGTGGAAAAGGAGGAGAAAGAAGAAGAAGAAGAAGATGATGAAGAATCAAGTGGGGATAGAAAGAGGAGATGGAGGGTTGTTTTCGGTCAAGTGAGGTTTGTAAAAGTCTCCTTTTTTTTCTTTTTCAATTCTCTCTTTTTCCCTTTCTGTCTGTCTGTCTCCCTCTCTCTCTCTTTCTCTTTCTCTCTCTCCTCTCTTTCTCCATCTATCCTCCTCTATCTGTCTCTGTCTCTGTCTCTATCTCCCCCTCTCACTCTCTTCCCCTCTCTCTTTCTCTTTCTCTCCTCTCTCTCTCTCTCTCTCATCCCCTCTCTCTTTCTCTCTCTCTCTCTCTCTCTCCCCCTCTCTGTTGATCAACATTACAATGACTGGTCCTCAAGCCGAGATACTGGGCTGCAAGCGCTGAAAACACATTTACGAAGCTATCTAGCGGTTCGAGTCCCGCTGCGGCACTAATGTCCTTTGGCAAGATATTTTAATCTACACTCCACCCAGGTGAGGTGAATAGGTACCTGGTAAGATTATTCCTTGTAATGCACTGTGCGCTAATAACGGCTGCCGTAGCTAAAGCTAGGGTGATAATTTCTAAAGCTCTTTGGGAGCGCATAGAGATATTATTTCATTACGTATTATGCGCTATACAAGAACTGAATATTATTTTTATTATCATGAGGATGATCATTAGGATGATACATGTAATTTAAATTATTTACCCGGGGTAGGTCTTTAAGGGTCTTTAAGAAATATAACAAAGTCACCAATCCAAAGTCCAAGTATACCACTCTTTAAACAGATGCAAATCTTGTCTTTATATGATTTGATTATATTTAATACTCTAATGTGTATGTAATCTGTAAAACATAACATTTTTCATGTGAAGCATAGTAATATATTTATTCAAAATTCATTATCCATTCATAAGCAACTCGTCAAAACTACCATTTTCATCAACTAACCGACATCTCCCTGGTATTGCCTGGTATTGCATTTAATTCATTAGATGTTGTTGGCGTAAAGAAATAGAACCAATTACCCACTTCTATACAAAATTAGGTTCAACTTTATCCTGTTTTAA